TTTTGCACTATTGTTTTCATATGCATGTCAACTTAATAAATAATATTTCTGCTACAAAATAAACGAAAGACTATGATAATTCAGTCAATTTATGCATTTATGCATTGAATCAATTCAATTCAATCACTCTTTAAAAGTTTTGATTTTGTTTTGTGTGATTGTACATGCTCAGTCTCGTTATGAGCTGATCTTCATTTTTTCTGTGTTTGTGGAATAAAGCAGGCGAGTCAACACACTCAATATATGAGCAGGCAGAGCAGGATTCTCACGATGACCACCGGCGAAATACCGCTTTTTGTTATGAGCAGCAGTTTCAGTGTAAACTTAGTAAAGGCGAGCTTCTTTGGCTATGATGTGTACTAGATTTTACATTTAGCGAACATCTGCGCTGAACACGCTGTGAATGCAATGCATCGAGATTCGGGCACCTTCTTCAAAAACACTCGATTGATCTCAGCTGGCGGATCAACAATCACCACATGTCATGATCGCTCTCATCTGCGCCATTATTTGTAACTTTAGGTGGGTTTGCAAACCTGTGTACTTTTCACTCTTCAGCCGTTTGCATTTCCCGCAATCACAAAAGCTCCCTGACAGCGTAAAGCCTTGAGTGATTGACAGTTACCAAAATAGCGGCGGGGAAGAGCGATTTAGCACGTTTTTAGCAAAAAAATCAAACAGGTTGCACTACAGCCATTATATGCAGTCGCACAAATGTTCCCAAATATATCATGAGGTCGCATTGATTACATTTCGGATTAATATGTTAGCAAAAAGTTCGCAATTTCGAGCCCTGTATATATATATATATATATATATATATATATATATATATATATATATATATATATATATATATATATATATATATATATATATATTAGGGTTGGGCATCTAAGCTATAATGCCGATCCGATACACATCTCGATACAAAGAATACGATCCGATATATTAGCGATACATTTGTGACATTGCGATGCAACACGATACGATTCACACCCATATCACGATACAATGCGATAATTCAGCACTAACTTATTAGATCAAGTTTATGAGATGATGTGAAGGAGGATGCTGTGCCATTGAATGAGTTTGATTATTTATTAACCAAGTAAAACCAAGACTTTTTTTACAAACTGGCTTTTCTCTCAGAGCCAGAGTGTCAGTTTACAGTAGAGAGCCATTTTAGAACCTATAGCACATATTATTTATATATATACATATTATTTAAGTATTTTCAAGATAAAAAAAATATATATATTTGCACTCTTTCAACATTAGGGTTTACCATTGCACAACAAGAATTGTGATATAACTTTTCAACTATGAAAACAAGTTTTACAAAGATATTTTGCCACTGAATATTCAAAACTTAAGGTGGTGAACTAGCAGTGTTATGCTGCTTTGAAACATCACTGTCACTGTAAACAACAGGCTAATAAAAATATAATTAAATACAAATTAACAGGAGGAGGTGTTTAAAACCTTCGTTCTCCGTGACACTAGGCTGAATATCTTTGCAGATGAACAATGCAGCAACATCCGTTATTGGCGTAGAGCGCACAAAACTGTTGCGCATGGAGAAAACTTTCAATGCTTTTCTCACCACTTTTGGAGCTGGTAGCTACAGTTGAAGCAGAGCAGGAAGCCGGGGATGCAGGAACACTGGAAGATGCTTCCACAACAACACCGTGGCGCTGCTCAAGTGAGATTTCAGATTAGTCGTACTGCCCACGTATTTTACAGATGCGCGGCACATTTTGCAAATTGCATCTGTCCTGTCAAGTCGTCCATCCTTAAATCTAAAATGTTGCCATACTTTAGATTTAAAACTCAGTGAGGAATAAAATGTTTGTTTTGCTTCTCGCGCTTTCTGAGGGCGCACCACTAGCTTCATCCGCACACCTGATACACTGAGTTGTAGTGTAAGTGTACACATCCGCAAATCCGTTGCTAAGGCTTACTTTATGTAGGTCGATTAAATTATGCGCCAAAAACAGGTTGACAACACTTGTTAATAAATAAAAAATACATTCTATATTAAAAATATAAGCTGTATCTTGGAAAAACCGATGCATCTCGCAAAAACCGATGCATCTCGATTTGCTTCCAAAATTTCATTCATCCTCTGCTGCTCTACAGATGCACTCGCATCGTGCACGCGCATGACCGCGTATCGATACATATCGGTTAATCTTCGGTTGTCACAACTGTTTCATAATATAATAAGCGGCCGTTGCTTTAGGTTGCGTTGGGCAGCATGGACGACAACTGTACAACATTTACTCGTCATCAATGAATCAGTTTTGATTTCAACAGAGCGTTCGCGTCTCGTTGATCAACGGTCGAGGAGACGCGAGTATTGTTTTTAAATTAGACATCAGTGGTCATTTCTGTAGTCCTGTTGTGTCAAGCACTGATCTGTCCTCTCTTGCTCACTGCCTATTTTGACGTGTAGCTGCTGAGGATCCATCTCTGAAACTGGATTCTCTGTTGGAATTGTTTCTTCCTCTGACTGCTTTCTCCGTACCAACAACTATGTCTGGTCTTCGGCTGCACTCCCCGGTCTGCTGTATTCTCCAGTCCAGAGCTTCGATGCCCAGTGTCTGCATTTTAATTCGTTTTCTTGTTTACTTCTCTTGTTTACTTTACTTTCTCAATTGACATTTTAATTTAGCCTATAGTTTAACTATAGTTAATTATTTGATATAATCTAAACATTTTATACTGTTTGCTTATAACTTGATGTGTAGTACTGTATGTATTAAACGTGAAATGCATAATAAAAAAAATTTGATTATATACATTTGTGTGGCATTTTTACACTTAAAAGTTCATATATGCAGTTATTTTAATAAAAAGGACAAATGAATGAACTATTTAACATTAAGCAATACTAGAAAATTATTACTGCTTATCCTGTATTGTAGGCAGTATAAATAAACTGCCACGAAAAAACAAACATTAATGCATGTAGTAAGAACGTCGTCTCACGGTTGCTTAATGTCACACGACAACGTTGCTACAGCCTTCTCACATCTTACATTTCTATGCTGTGACAATGTAGCGAGCACGTAGGTGGCAACGTTGCCTTTGTTAAAACGTTGTACAGACATTGCTACAATGTAGATGTGTTTGTTGGGGTGACATGAACAATTTAAACTGAGCTTTGGCGCATTGGCTGGTGCTGAGTGTCGTGTCATGCTAACACAATTATGCAGTGTTTTTAACCACCCAATGCTTATTTTATGTTTTAGACATGTAAATACACACACGTACTAGAAAAACAATACATTTAGAGATTGTAGGACACACGAGAAAGTCTATGGAAGTCTAACAATCCATTCAAATATAATTTGCCAATTTGACATATCAGATACACGTAGTGAAAGTAACTATAAAGTTCAATCTATACTTCTTTAAGTTCAGCAGACACTTGCTTGCATGCATTTTGGGAGTAACTGATGAATTTATGTGCTGAATCTTGCGTGTTCTGCTTTTATGAATGAGACAAACGACTGTGGGTCACTTGACAATGTTGTAAAATAATGATCGCTATACAAAACTGACTCCTGGTTCCAGATAGAATCTTTTAAACTCATCGGTAAAAGAGTTAATAACAGGAGTAAAGCAGCGGTGGTAGAGTTACACACGTTTTTATTTACTCGCCTTTTTTTAGATCATTAATTTCTCCATCTGTTGTCATGTATAGCTGCACTGCAAAAAAAGCGTTTCTTAGTCATTTTGTGTCGTTTCCAGTCAAAATATCAAAAAAATCTTAAATTAAGAAGATAAAAAAAAAATGGCATGAAAAAATTAAGTGATGCTTAACTTCTGTTTGAGATTATATATCATTCAGATTATTTTTCTTACCCCATTGGCAGATAATATAGCTTGTTTTAAGCAAACGATCACTTAAATTTCAGGTTTTTTTTTTCAGAAAACAAGACGTAATTTCTTGTGCCATTTCATGTGTCTTGTTTTACGATTTTTTTTTAAATATTTGAATTGAAAACAGGACAAAACTACTATAAGTTTATTATTATTATTATTAGTATGATCATAACAGCTCATGGATGTTCAAGGACAACATGTTTGTGAACTCTCTAAAGTTTTGTTTTTGGTTGGAAATTAATGCTATTCTTTTTTTTAAATCTGATTCATCAATTAATCAAAGAAAAAAGTAATCGACAGGTTAATCAGTTATTAAAATAATCAGTAGCTGCAGCCCTACTATATACCTAACAAAGATTAACTATTTTTCTAATACAATGAAGGCTATACAGTGTTATTTTACGTTTACATTTAGTCATTTTGCAGACGCTTTTATCCAAAGCGACTAACAAATGAGGACAAGGAAGCAATTTACACAACTATAAGAGCAACAATGAATGAGTGCTGTAGGCAAGTTTCAGGTGTGTAAAGTGTAAGAAGCAAAGCTTAAATTGGATAACATTAACATTTTAAGTTACCTCAGCACTGTTAGAATATCCAGAACACCATAAAGAACTGTCTATTTCATTTGTTTATTTGCCCCATTGTATTCATTTATGCAAGTTATTTCATCATAACTATTTACAGAATTATCACATTACATTATTAATACTTTCCAAATGGAGTTGTTTGAATCATCTTATGAAATTACCTTAACATCACAACATATATCGCAGAAAAAAACTAAACATTGCAATGTCAGCTTTTTCCAATATCGTGCAGCCGTGATATACGTCTTAAATTCTGCTAAGATCCAGACAGAAACAGACCGATACTGCGTTTGTATTGGTTGTAAGAGCCGATTCACTCGAGGATCCGACTCCTAAGAACGAGTCATCAATGAATCGAACGTCGCTAATCAGACGCTACAAAACGCGAAATAAGCGCGAAAACACAAATAACCGCACGTGCGCGAGTATGAGATGAATCTCCCGGCAAAACGACTGCAGATCTCGCCGGTAAAACGGCTGTACGACCCTGTATGACGGGTTAGCATTAGCCCGTACCTGACTGGTCCTGGCCGCTCCTGCGTCTCCTCCACCGGTCGCCGCGGCTCCCGCTACCGCATCGCCGGGCTTCTTCGACAGGCTCTGCTGCTGCTGTACCGACACCGAATCCTTGGCTCCTGTGCCCTGCTGCTTGCTCTTCTTCCTCGCCATCGCTATAGTCCGTGTGCCCGTCGGCTGCGCTCCGGGTTTAGCGTAAAAACACAGTTTCGGTTCTTGTGGCAGTGCTCTCCTCAAGCAAGACAACAGTCAATATGGCGGAGCAGCGACGCGCATGCGCAGACGAGTTCAGGGGTCACGCGCACTGATGGCAATGGCTTCACAGATCCTCAGCAGTGGAGACTCCATGTTTACTGAGGGCATCAGTAGAGTACAGTAGAAACATCAACACTGTAAACACGTGCAGAGTACAGTCGCGCAGACACTAGTATTGCAGCGCAGTGGCTTAGAATACACGTGCAGAGTACAGTCGGTCGGAGTAGAGGAGAAGCAGCAACACTGTAAACATTACAGTAGCTCAGACAACACGTGTGGAAAACAGGTACTGTTACTGTAGTCAACACGTGTAGTCTGAGCTACTGTACTGTTCTACTGTAGTTTGAGCGACTGTACTTGCACATTTACAGTGTTGATGTTTCTACTGTAGTCTGTGTGACTGTGCTCTGTTTGGTTGGTTTCTACTGTAGCCCAAGGGACTGCACTCTGCACATTTACAGTGATGTTTCTACTGTAGTCTGACAGTAATTGTGGATTTACAGTGTTGGTTTCTAATGTAGTCTGACTGTAGACTACTTGTGGATTTAGTGTTAGTTTTTACTGTAGTCTGACTGTATTTGTGGATTAAGTGTTTGTTTTTACTGTAGTCTGACTGTATTTGTGGATTAAGTGTTTGTTTTTACTGTAGTCTGACTGTATTTGTGGATTTAATATTTGTTTATTTTGTAGTCTGACAGTAATTGTGGATTTACATTGTTGATGTTTCTACTGTAGTCTGTGCTTGTGGATTTGGTGCTGTTTCTATTATAGACTGAATGATTGTACTTGTGCACGTATAGTGTTTGAATCTAGTGTAGTCTGACTGTAGTCTACTTGTGGATTTACATTGTTGGTTTCTACTGTAGTCTGACTGTAGCCTACTTGTGGATTTACATTGTTGGTTTCTACTGTAGTCTGACTGTATTTGTGGATTTACATTGTTGTTTCTACTGTAGTCTGACTGTAGCCTACTTGTGGATTTACATTGTTGGTTTTTATTGTAGTCTGACTGTAGTCTACTTGTGGATTTACATTGTTTGTTTCTTTTGTAGTCTGACTGTAGCGTACTTGTGGATTTACATTGTTTGTTTCTTTTGTAGTCTGACTGTAGCATACTTGTGGATTTACATTGTTGGTTTCTACTGTAGTCTGACTGTAGTTTACTTGTGGATTTACATTGTTTCTTTTGTAGTCTGACTGTAGCATACTTGTGGATTTACATTGTTGGTTTTTATTGTAGTCTGACTGTAGCCTACTTGTGGATTTGTTGGTTTCTACTGTAGTCTGACTGTAATCTACTTGTGGATTTACATTGTTGGTTTCTTTTGTAGTCTGACTGTAGCCTACTTGTGGATTTACATTGTTGGTTTTTATTGTAGTCTGACTGTAGCATACTTGTGGATTTACATTGTTGGTTTCTTTTGTAGTCTGACTGTAGCATACTTGTGGATTTACATTGTTGGTTTTTATTGTAGTCTGACTGTAGCCTACTTGTGGATTTACATTGTTGGTTTCTACTGTAGTCTGACTGTATTTGTGGATTTACATTGTTGGTTTCTTTTGTAGTCTGACTGTAGCATACTTGTGGATTTACATTGTTGGTTTCTTTTGTAGTCTGACTGTAGTCTACTTGTGGATTTACATTGTTGGTTTTTATTGTAGTCTGACTGTAGCCTACTTGTGGATTTACATTGTTGGTTTCTACTGTAGTCTGACTGTATTTGTGGATTTACATTGTTGGTTTCTATTGTAGTCTAATTGTAGCCTACTTGTGCATTTAGTGTTGGTTTTTACGGTAGTCTGACTGTATTTGTAGATTCAGTGTTTGTTTATATTGTAGTCTGACTGTATTTGTGTATTCAGTGTTTATGTTTATACTGTAGTCTGAGTGATTGTACTTGTGCATTTATAGTGTTTTATACTTTAGTCTGGCTGTGAATTTTCAGTGTTGATGTTTCTACTGTAGTCTGACTGTATTTGTGGATTTACAGTGTTTGTCTCTTCTGTAATCTGATTTTAGCCTACCTGTGGATTTACATTGTTTCTTTTGTAGTCTGACTGTAGCATACTTGTGGATTTACATTGTTGGTTTTTATTGTAGTCTGACTGTAGCCTACTTGTGGATTTGTTGGTTTCTACTGTAGTCTGACTGTAATCTACTTGTGGATTTACATTGTTGGTTTCTTTTGTAGTCTGACTGTAGCCTACTTGTGGATTTACATTGTTGGTTTTTATTGTAGTCTGACTGTAGCATACTTGTGGATTTACATTGTTGGTTTCTTTTGTAGTCTGACTGTAGCATACTTGTGGATTTACATTGTTGGTTTTTATTGTAGTCTGACTGTAGCCTACTTGTGGATTTACATTGTTGGTTTCTACTGTAGTCTGACTGTATTTGTGGATTTACATTGTTGGTTTCTTTTGTAGTCTGACTGTAGCATACTTGTGGATTTACATTGTTGGTTTCTTTTGTAGTCTGACTGTAGTCTACTTGTGGATTTACATTGTTGGTTTTTATTGTAGTCTGACTGTAGCCTACTTGTGGATTTACATTGTTGGTTTCTACTGTAGTCTGACTGTATTTGTGGATTTACATTGTTGGTTTCTATTGTAGTCTAATTGTAGCCTACTTGTGCATTTAGTGTTGGTTTTTACGGTAGTCTGACTGTATTTGTAGATTCAGTGTTTGTTTATATTGTAGTCTGACTGTATTTGTGTATTCAGTGTTTATGTTTATACTGTAGTCTGAGTGATTGTACTTGTGCATTTATAGTGTTTTATACTTTAGTCTGGCTGTGAATTTTCAGTGTTGATGTTTCTACTGTAGTCTGACTGTATTTGTGGATTTACAGTGTTTGTCTCTTCTGTAATCTGATTTTAGCCTACCTGTGGATTTACATTGTTAGTTTCTATTGTAGTCTGACTGTAGCCTACTTAAAATGTTTGTTTCTATTGTAGTCTGTAATTGTGGATTTACAAGTGTTGTTTTTTCTACTGTAGTCTGAATGATTGTACCTGTGCATTTATAGTGTTTGTTTATACTGTAGTCTGGCTGTGAATTTACAGTGTTGTTTTTTTTTCTGTAGTCTGACTGTACTTGTGGATTTATTGTTTATGTTTCTACTGTAGTCTAAGCGATTGTACTTTTGCATTTATAGTGTTTGTTTTTATTATAGTCTGACTGTAGCCTACTTGTGGATTTACACTGCTGGTTTCCTCTGTAGTCTGACTGTAGCCTACTTGTTTACAGTGCTTTTATTGTAGTTTGACTGTATTTGTGGATTTGCAGTGTTGATGTTTCTACTGTAGTCTAAGTGATTGTACTTGTTCATTTGTATAATTTGTTTTTATGGTTGTCTGATTGTTTTTGTGACTATACTCTGCATTAAGTGTTAATGTTTCTATTGTATCTGTATTTGTGCATTTACAGTGTGGACGTTTCTATTGTAGTTTGACTGTATTCGTGGATTTACGGTGTGGATGTTCCTACAGCCCACAGTCCACAGAGTGACTGTACTAGGTTTACAGTATTGTTAGCACTGTAGTCTGAGCATCTAAACTTGTTTAGTGCTAATGTTTATATATATGTATATATATATATGTATATATATATATATATATATATATATATATATATATATATATATATATATATATATATATATATATATATATAGTTGAAACCAGAAGTTTACATACACTGTATATAACCATTGCACATAACCATTTAAAAAAAAGTCAGGTGTTATTGTGACTAAGTTAGGATTGTGTTTCTGTTCTGCTTAATAGCAGAATAATGAGAGAGATGTGTTTAGAGAAATTGTTATAACTCTTCTTGAAAGTCAAGTTTACACACAATAAGATTATTCTGCCTCTGGAAAAGCTCAGATGATGATGTCGAGGTTTTGGAGGTTTCTGATTGGCTAATTGACAACATTTGAGTTAATGTGAGGCACAACTGTAGAATAGTGTTGAAGGAAAAGCTCAAACACACTGCTTCCTTGTGTGACAACATGAGAAAATCAACAAGCCAGAATCAACAACAAAGCCAGATTAAAATGAACTAAATGACACTGGAGAAAAGATTTACTACAGATTGTTTCTACTGTAATCTGTGGCTGTTCTTTGATTTTACAGTGTTGTTTATAAGGTAGATGTTATTAATTTACTCTGCACATCCTCATCCAAATTTAAAAAAAAATTGACATCTCAATATTTAAGATTTTCCTTTTATTTTAGAGTGGAGAAACGAATGGCTCATGATGAATACACTGACAGATCAGATAAAGTGACAGAATAAATTCTTAATACATCTTTTATTACACTATGATTGTTAGTTTTTACAGTAGTGTTTGGCAGTGATTAGGATTTAAGTGATTAAAACACATGCAGAACTGATTTCCAAGAATGCAGTTCATAGAAAATGTATATTTTTAAATTGTTTTCATGTCTATTTCTTGCCCTCGGCACCCAAATCTAGTTTCCCTTTAGTTACTTTAAAGATTTCTCAATTGCACTTTAATTTGTTGAACATTAAATATCTCTGCAATATTTAAAAAATAGCATGGCTTTGATGAGGCCATTTTTGTTGATGCATAAAAAAGTTGCTCTAAAAAAGGTTGAATATTCAATGATAGTGGAACAACAATACAGATGGCGACAGCTGAAATGCATTTATCCAACAATTCAAAATATGATGTTTTCAGAGATCTGCTTCACGAGGAGGTTTAAAGACACCAGGATGAGTGAATGATGATTTGGAGGCACATCTTTGGTTTAGTGAAGTACTTTTCAGTCATGATGATTAAAGGCATTGAGGTCAGGAAGACAAGCATCTGTTACTGTTGGCTTCAGTCATTGAGTTTTACACACTTTTTCCTTTCGGTAGCACCAGGTCTTCTGTAAAAATCACGTTCATCATATTCAGGGTTTCTCTCTCCACGTCATACTTTCAAAATGCATCTTGCTGGTACTTGGTACCACAAAATCCACGGCTATAAGCTGGAATACTTGTGAAGAAACCGCTCGTAGGCATCGTAAATGGCTTGTCTGAAAGTCAACAATCACAGATTAAATTAAAATGTTTCTGCGCTTATTTAAACAGTGGAGATCATACAGTTACTATCAACCAACATGTCACAGTTTAAAGGGATAGTTCACCCAAAACTTTGAATTCTGTCATCATTTACTAATAACAATAATAATAATAATAATAATAAAACATTTTATTGTTAAATAGACATTTTATTTGAAAATATACACAGCAATAGTCGAATTTACATCATGTTTGAAGCTTTAATTGTAATTGCAAGGGGGTGAATATAACCAGGAAAATGGTCTAAAATATCTCCTACTGTAAATCAGTAAATATGACAGAATATTCGCTTATAGACATTATATGCTCACCGAAACAGTCCTTGTTTGAAGAGGTAAGCGCTGATGTGTCCTCCGTTGAGGTATCGGACCTCGCAGCCGGGCCAGATCTCCTGTAAACTGCGGACTCCAGTGCGGGGAACATACGCGTCTTCCTTTGCCTGGACTATAATGATCAGACTGGGATCTACAGGCACTGCAAAACAAGGGAATGTGTGCAAATGGAAACAAAAAGAACAAGCCTATTGGTAAGTCTGTCACATTAATCAATATATGGACTTATCACACGACACATGGACATGACCTCAGTCATTTCTGGTGATGCGATATATAATCGCCCATACATACAACATCAGTCCTACCAACATTTCAGCTGATTGTGCAACATCTCGATCTCTAGTGGAGGTGTCAGTGTCAGTATGGTTTAAAACACTGTAGTATTTACAGGCCCGTAGCCAGCCTGGTGTAAGGGGTGGTTCTTTTTTTCTCGAAAAATGACCTTTTTGCAGTTATATGCCTCTGTTTCTATTTAACTATGAGATTTAAATACTGCATTTTTTAGATTTTTTTGCTGGATTAGCTAGTCAGATGTCATCATAACCACACTTTTTGATGTACTAAAAATATTTCCTAAAAATTGCAGTTAAAAAAATTCAAACAAGACTCATTTTTAAAATACAAATTTATTACATCATATGTCATTAGGAAAAATAGCAATCTGTTAAAGTTTTAAAGTAAAAAAACTATCATTTATTAGACAAAAAACAAACTGGCCAGCACATTCAACTGTCCTCAGTCACATTTTGGCCAGTTCAATAAAAAATAATAATCAAAACATAACAATAATAATAATAATAATAATAATAATACAGTAATAATTTATTCTTCAGATTTTTTCTAGCCTCTTTGGTTAAAAAAAAGCCTTTTTTGATGGATTATTTGCATTATTTATGGTGGCATAGCAGTCAAAATAGGATGAAAATAGGACAAATGAGCTCATTTGGGACAAATTCTGGACCTTTGTCAGTGAGGGGTGGGTCTTCCGAACCAACCGAACCCCCCTGGCTACAGGTCTGAAAAGTTAGAACATGTTTTATGCTGATAGTAAACATGTTTTAAAATAATTTTGGCTGTAAATGCGCACCTACATGTGTTTCAGGCGCAGGTCAGATTTTCTCCAGGTCATTTATTTAGTTTATATTAATTTTGTCCAAAAAACTGATAATACCTATCCAGCTTCATCTGTAATGCATCGCAAATCCCCTGAGGAGTCCGCTTGCCATTAAAGCCTTCATCGGGCAGTTATTTAAAAAATGTCAGAACTAGGGAAAGGGAGATCATGTACTGGACAAGTCAATAAATATACAGGATGTTCAGGCTAATGCGGCCAGTTAGCCTAGAGCACAGGTGTCAAACTCAGTTCCTGGAGGGCCGCAGCTCTGCACAGTTTAGTTCCAACCCTAATTAAACACACCTGATCAAACTAATCGAGTCCTTCAGGCTTGTTTGAAACCTACAGGTAAGTGTGTTGGAGCAGGGTTGGAACTAAACTGTGCAGGGCTTCGGCCCTCCAGGAATTGAGTTTGACACCCCTGGCCTAGAACCTCAGATTTTCATCTGTTAGGAAGTATGTCACTTACCTGTTTGGCAGTCTTTATGAACATATATGTTTAATAGTTTGTGATAATGACGCCGATGCCTGTCTTTTCTGCCTTCTTGCTCTTTTCGATCAACAGCGTAACTCACCATGGATGTCGCATCAAAGATTCAAATGTGACCACTCAGTGGGTTATGTCACGTGACTCGCGTCACATTAATGTGGCTTTGAGGCTCTATGGGATTCGAATTACTGGCCAGAGTTATTTAAAATTACACTTTATTACAATATATATTGAATATAAATATATTATATTACTTGTATAATAAATATATTATATTAAATTACATAAAATAATTAAAAGGACAAATTCTGGACCTTTTGGCCGTGGGGGGTGGTTTGTTCGAACCACCCAAACCCCCCCTGGCTAAGGGCATGATTTACTATAATTGACTATGGTATTTTCTCATGTGGGTGTCTGACAGCTGAGATAGATCAGGCAGCAGATTTCACAGCCTCTGTTACTCTTCATCTTGTTAACATTTATTATTGTTTATTTAGGATATGCGTTTTCACATTCTGACTCCAATGCCTGATTATTAAACTGTTAAAATGGCTATAATTAAATTAAATATTTTTCAGAATTAAACTTGATGTGTTTTCTGGCAGAGTGTTCTTGTATTGTGATGATGTTATATTCTCATTCTGGCATAAGTAGTTGACATAGTGGCATAGTTTATCGCGATACATTTTGGTCCCATATACATCATACAACAAAAAATAGATATGGTGACAGGCCTCTGCTAGAGCTGCTAGAGTATGGGGAAAATCATAATCAAATTATTTCGATCAATATGTGCTTTTATATCAACTTAAGCCTGAAATTATTCATAGCCCTAGCGAATACTGACTTTTATTCAATCAGCAAGTTGTGTTTGTGTTTGACTGGAAATGCCACAGGCTGCCAGAAACGCAGGAGAGCCTGGTGATGCGACATTAATTGTTTTATACTGAAACTTTCCTTCTAAAAGCGCGTCCTTGGTCTTATCCAAATTTCTGTGCACGTTAAACACACTGGCCGCCAGGGCAAACGGCAATCACGCCGCCCTCAAACCGAAAGGGAACGGTTCGCGGATAAAAGTGAGGACCGTGAGGGAGGGGGTGGGTGTAGCGGATGAAGTGAAGACCGGGGGGTTTCCTCACTATACTGCTGCCCAAAACGGCCGCCTAGGTTGCATCTATGCACGTGCCGGCCCTGAACACACAACGGCCACAACAGGAAATAAAAAAAACTTTTTTTTACGTGTTAAATATTTAAAATTAATCATGTGCGTTAACGCGATAATTTTGAAAGCCTTAATATATATATATATATATATATATATATAAATAAATATTTATATACGTATATATATATATATACATATACACGTGTATATATATATATATATATATATATATATATATATATATATATATATATATATATATATATATATATATATATATATATATATACGTATATATTAAGGGTGTCACGATCCTCCAAATCCTCGTTTCGATTACATTTTTGATTCTAAAGGCACGATTCGATTTTCGATTATGAATAAATAATTGATTAATGACCAATTAATTATTTGTAGCCTACCGTTTAAACTACCTGACCTACCTGGTCTTTGTTTTACCCATAAACAAATCATACAGTAAATGAATAAAGGCAAGACACACACATAATTACCACCTGTCAATCACTTTTTCTGCGGGACTCGTGAATAGGCAGTGATCTGTGTCGTTATAATGGCGTCGGTAAAAAAGACACACAACCAACAGGAACCAGCCAACAGTATCTGAGGTGTTCGCTAAAATGACTAAGTACAAGTGAGTGAAAGATTGAAGCAGTCCTCTGACTGCCTGGACCTGCTGTCTCGAGCGCATGGCTGTGTGTGCGTCTGTGTGTGTGTGGTCACGTGATGTGCATTTTCAGAGGTAGAGAGGAAGGAGGGCTGCTCAGAAATGCTACAATTAAAAACAAAGACAGTGTAAACAGGGCCTGAGTGTGAACTTTTCGCCAGCGGATTTGCAACGGGGGCGGGCGGAGGATCGCGATGCCGGTGTTGTCTATCGGACGAACCGTACGTAATACGTACATAGCAGAGCTTGCAAAACTGTGTTTTTTTGTCGACAACACGAACGTTGTCAACATAACTCACTGGAAATCCAAAATGCTTCCACACCGGCGACTTCATTGAAAGAGGAGAGGGTTTAAGCTCTGTCGACGGGTCTCCTGCGTCTGCAGTTTAACAAACACTTCAACAAGCCTGTTTTTTCCCACTTGGCAAGCCAAGCTGACGTGACATGGGGGCGTGGCAGCATCGACGATTCTATTTTTTGATTCGATAATCGAAATTGAGCATAAATTTCGATCGATTTCGATTAAAAATCGAAATCGTGACACCCCTAGTATATATATATACTACATATATATACACATTTATTTTTTTATTATTATTTTTTTTTTTTATTAATAATTTTTTTTTTCTAAATTTAACATTGCACTGGTGTTTATGTTCAATTATTTCACTTTTAAGGGAATTAAAAAGGAACTTATTCTTCCTAGAAAAAAAAGTCAAATTATTGAACCTACTTTTCTAAATTTGGAGAAAATTTCAGACGTCACTTAGTGCTTTTTGCATTTGAACTCTTCACATATGGTTTAGTATTTTGTTTTGTCTTAATTATTTTGATCTATATACAATCAAGCTTTTATATACAACTATATACAATCAAAATATATATTTAAAGCTTTGATTGTGATTGTATATATATATATATATATATATATATATATATATATATATATATATATACACACACAATCATAATCAAAATTTTAAATATATATTTTGATTGTATATAGTTGTATATAAAAGCTTGATAAATATATGATATATATATATATATATATATATATATATATATCTATATTAGGGATGGGAAGATTAACCGATATGTATCGATACGCGGTCATGCGCGTGCACGATGCGAGTGCATCGGTAGAGCAGCAGAGGATGAATGAAATTTTGGAAGCAAATCGAGATGCATCGGTTTTTGCGAGATGCATCGATTTTTCCGAGATACAGCTTATATTTTTAATATAGAATGTATTTTTTATTTATTAACAAGTGTTGTCAACCTGTTTTTGGCGCATAATTTAATCGACCTACATAAAGTAAACCTTAGCAACGGACTTGCGGATGTGTACACTTACACTACAACTCAGTGTATCAGGTGTGCGGATGAAGCTAGTGGAGCGCCCTCAGAAAGCGCGAGAAGCAAAACAAACATTTTATTCCTCACTGAGTTTTAAATCTAAAGTATGGCAACATTATGGATTTAAGGATGGACGACATGACAGGACAGATGCAATTTGCAAAATGTGCCGCGCATCTGTAAAATACACGGGCAGTACGACTAATCTGAAATCTCACTTGAAGCGGCGCCTCGGTGTTGTTGTGAAAGCATCTTCCAGTGTTCCTGCATCCCCGGCTTTCACACTGCTTCAACTGTAGCTACCAGCTCCAAAAGTGGTGAGAAAAGCATTGAAAGTTTTCTCCATGCGCAACAGTTCTGCTCGCTCTACGCCAATAACGAATGTTGCTGCATTGTTCATCTGCAAAGATATTCAGCCTAGTGTCACGGAGAACGAAGGTTTTAAACACCTCCTCCTGTTAATTTGTATTTAATTATATTTTTATTAGCCTGTTGTTTACAGTGACAGTGATGTTTCAAAGCAGCATAACACTGCTAGTTCACCACCTTAAGTTTTGAATATTCAGTGGCAAAATATCTTTGTAAAACTTGTTTTCATAGTTGAAAAGTTATATCACAATTCTTGTTGTGCAATGATAAACCTTTATGTTGAAAGAGTGCAAATATATATATTTTAATATATATTGCACTTATACATTCTGTTTATCTTGAAAATACTTAAATAATATGTGCTATATGTTCTAAAATGGCCCTCTACTGTAAACTGACACTCTGGCTCTGAGAGAAAAGCCAGTTTGTAAAAAAAGTCTTGGTTTTGCTTGGTTAATAAATAATCAAACTCATTCAATGGCACAGCATCCTCTTTCACATCATCTCATAAACTTGATCTAATTAGTTAGTGCTGAAATATCGCATCGTATCGTGATATGGGTGTGAATCGTATCGTGTTGCATCGCAATATGTCACAAATGTATCGCTAATATATCGGATCGTATTCTTTGTATCGAGATGCGTATCGGATCGGCATTATAGCTTAGATGCCCAACCCTAATATATATATATATATATATATGATTTCATCTCTGTTATTCACAGATGATGTTGTTCTGTTGGCTTCATCAAACATGGACCTTCAGCATGCATTTGGGCGGTTTGCTGCCGTGTGTCACGCGGCTGGGATGAGAATCAGCACCTTCAAGTCCAAAGCCATGGTGCTCCACCGGAAAAAGGTGGTTTGCCATCTCCAGGTTGGAGAAAAGTCCTTACCCCAGGTGGAGGAGGTCAAGTATCTTGGGGTTTTGTTTACAAGAGAGGAAAGGATGGAGTGTGAGATTGACAGGCGGATTGATGCCGCGGCAGCAGAAATGCGGTAGATGAACCGGTCTGTTGTGGTAAAGAAGGAGCTGAGCCGAAAGGCAAAGCTTTCAATTTACCGGTCAATCTATCTATCATGTATATAAGCGAAAGTTCACCCCAAATTTTTTATTCTGCCATAACATACTCATATCATTCAAACCTGTATATTTACTGCAGAAAAGCATAGTATATTTTCTAAACAATGTTGGACATCAGTGTGCATTGACTTCCATGGTGTTTGATATTCCTAAAATAAGTGTAAATGCCCACCGAGTTTCAACATTCTTCAAATCATCTTCATTTGAAACTCTAAGACTTGGAACTGCTTGAGTAAATGCTGAGTGAATGTTTGTTTTCGGGTGAACTGTCCCTTTAAGCCAAACCCCATCAGAGATAAAAGCACCTGCGTACCTGAAAAGTTGGCGATGTGTGTGCATTCATCCATTACGCCCTTCATGAAGCAGAGAGACTCGCGCTGCAGTGACTGCCGCTGTCCCGATCCGCAGGCGATGCTCTTAGCGTGTAGCATGTCTAAATGTGGAGCGCTGCTGCTAACGGCGGACAGCATCTGATCCAGACCATCCCGCTCCCGCCGACCCATCAGCACAGACGAGTCTGAAACGAGGAGACTTCAGTCAAACAAACCTAGTGCTCAAAAACATTTCATGACCTGGAATAAAGTTAGAGCAAAGTCACAGCTAGAAGGTCGCAGGTTTGAGTCCCGACTGGGTCATTTGATGTTTCTGTGTGGAGTTTGCATGTTCCCCCTGTGTTGGCGTGGGTGTGCTCCGGTTTCCCCCACAGTCCAAACACATGCGCTATAAGGGAACTGATCAACTAAATTGTTCATAGTATACAAGTGTGCATGTGAATGAGTGTGCATGGGTGTTTCCCAGTACTTGGTTGCAGCTGAAAGGTCATCTGTTGTTTAAAACATGTGCTAGAGTAGGATTACATTTGAGTACAGTGAACTCATCGTCATGTTCAAGAAAGCAGTCTGAGATGATTGAGCTTTATGACATGCTGCGTTATCCTGCTGGAAGTAGCCATCAGAAGATGGAGACACTGTGCTCATAAAGGGATGGACATGGTCAGCAGCAATACTCAGGTAGGCTGTGGCGTTGATGCTCAATTGGTACTAATGGACCCAAAGAAAATCTCCCCCACACCATTACACCACCACCACCAGCCTGAACCGCTGATACAAGGCAGGATGATCCATGCTTTCATGTTGTTGAGGCCAAATTGTGAGCCGAGCATCTGAATGTGTCAGCAGAAATGGAGACTCATCAGAGCAGCAACGTTTCTCCAATCTTCTATTGTCCAGTTTTGGTGAGTCTGTGTGAATTGTAGCCTCAGTTTCCTGTTCTTAGCTGACAGGAGCGGCACCCGGTGTGCTCTTCTGCTGCTGTAGCCCATCCGCCTCAAGGTTGGACGTGTTGTGTGTTCAGAGATGCTCTTCTGCAGAGCTCGGTTGTAGCGAGTGCTTATTTGAGTTACTGTTGCCTTTCTATCAGCTGGAACCAGTCTGGCCATTCTCCTCTGGCCTCTGGCCTCATCAACAAGGCATTTGCGCCCACAGAACTGCCGCTCACTGGATATTTCCTCTTTGTCAGAGCATTCTCTGTAGACCCTAGAGATGGTTGTGCATGAAAATCCCAGTAGATCAGCAGTTTCTGAAATACTCAGAGCAGCCAATCTGGCACCAACAACCATGCCACGTTCAAAGTCACTTAAATCCCCTTCCTTCCCCATTCTGATGCTCGCTCTGAACTGTAGCAGATCGTCTTGACCATGTCTACATGCCTAAATGCATTGAGCTGCTGCCATCTGGCTGATTAGAAATTTGCATTAACGAGCAGTGAAAAGTGTACCTAATAAAGTGGCCGGTAGACGTATTTTCTCTATATAAACATAACTGTTTCTTATTTTTTTTTACTTTTCTTAATTTTTTTAAGTTGCATTTGTGTGGTTTTGTTTTCAGTGACTGTTTATTTTATATCAAGTGTTTTACATAAGAGCTCATGTAAGCTGTGCAAAACCTCAACTTTACACTGCATGAATTTACACTAAAACTGAAAATACATAAAGGCAAAACACAGAAATGTGTTCACAACGTTAAAAACTCAACTAAAGCTACTAAAAACATCAACTGAAATTCAAAATCAAAATAAAAATGAATTAAAAAATGCAAAACTATAATAACCTTGGTCTGAAGCGGGACGTCCAGAATAGGAGGAGCGCAGCGCCACCTGCTGCCCGCTCTGCAGAAGCTCCTGAGTCAAATCCAGACCATCAAAACTGCCTGGGGCATTTTTCACAAACTCCTGCCCCATGCGGAAAGAGTCTGTCTGAAACACAAGGGCGTATCGCTGAAAATGCTGCACCTTCAACATCTCATCTCACTGTCTGGGACCTTCAGTGTTTGTGTGCTGCAGGATCAAGCACACAAATCAGCCGTTTGATAAATAAATGCATTGACCCCTCACAGATCTCTCCTTTACATTAATATTTTCTACAGGATTTTCTACAATAATAACTCTGTGCATATACATCAGATTAGTCAGTCCCATATCATATTTTTTTAATGTCAGAAACACCAGCATTAACATTTCATTAATAAATATACAATTAAATATCACAAACAGATGAAAACAAATTCGATGACTTTTTTTTTTTTTTGTAGAATATTTTCAGGCGACACTTTGCTGAATATCTCCTTGAGTAAGTTGATTTCATTAAAAACCCTTCTGCAGTCACTAAAAGCAGGACAGTCCAATAGAAAGTGTTGTACAGTAGCAGGATTTTTGCAGAACAAACAGAGTGGGAACTTTAATCAAAAGCCATGGGTAGGCCCACACAGAATCTGTGCGCGCAGATTTTCCGCAGATTTCTGCAGATTTTTGCCTATCATTAATTCTGTTTATTTACTTAAGTAAATGTGTGTAAATCTATATTTATTCAGTTTTTAAATTAATTACAGTAATTCTATTGACTAATGTGAAATTGTTCATCTGATTTATGTACAATGCAGTTTGTACAGTAATATTTTCAGTCTTTTAGTAGAGATATTATATGAGAGACTTGCTTTTTTTACCAAATAAAGTGAATCTAATTGGTAGAGGTGTGAACCTATACTGGTCTCACGGTTCGGTTCGGTTACGATTATCATGCCATCGATTCGGTTCAATCCGATATCTCGGTGCATCACGGTGCATTGACGATGCTTTCCATATATAGTGTTATATTTTAGGGGGGAGGCTATAACAAGCTGTCTGTATAAACACACAGACACACAGCAACACACTGTCTCTCATTCAAACACATTCACAAACATAGCATCAAACAAACAAACACACACGCGCACACACACACACACACACAAACACACACACTTAAGCCCTTGCAACAGGGAGAGCTCGCGCTGAGCGGAGCAAAAAAACCGAAAAAAATAAGCACTTTGCCGACGGTCCCTTACAGAGAGCTCCTCTCAGCGCGAGCTCTGCCGGCTAAAGTAAACACAGACTGCGAGGGCTTAAACGGAGCAGTGCTCGTAATGTCAAGCGAAAAAAAGAAAGACAGCTGTGAAACATAACCAGCTTTGTCTTTCTGTAGGAAACACACTTTAGATCTTTTTAGGGTAAGAGGATTTTGAGTTATTGCCGTCTGTAACTGAATGTGTGTCAAGAATATCGAAAACAAAACCAACTGAAGCGCGCTCATTTCTGGCGCCCCACTGGATATACAGCGCCCTAAGCATTTGCCTATGGTGCCTATGCCACGGGCCGGCCCTGAGTTGACTGAGTGTTGTAAATACCGGCGCTCACCTCCCTCACGACAGAGCGCATAGGAGATAAATGACGTCACTACATAATAACCGGTTATGATTATTACTGAATCGATACCGAATTGTCCGCGTCTGCATCGCGGTGCACCAAAGAAACAATTAATTTTGACACCCCTACTAATTGGTTTCTCAATTTAAACATTAAAGTTGAAAATGATATAACTTTTTATTTCACATATTGAGGTTTTAGTTATGATACTTCCAAAATAATTATCCAAAAGACTTTCACCAAAATTATCCACAGAAATCCACAGATTCTGACCCTGGCCATGGGTTAACATCTGAGACATCTGGTAAAAATCGCTTGATTAATTCTAGCCTTAAAAAGTATTAAAATGACACCCAAATTAATATGCTGTAGGAAAATCAATCATCAATCATCATCATTTTCTTGTCGGCTTAGTCCCTTTATTAATCTGGGGTCGCCACGGCGGAATGAACCGCCAACTTATACAGCAAGTTTTTTACGCAGCAGATGCCCTTCCAGCCGCAACCCATCTCTGGGAAACATCCACACACACACACACACACATACACTACGGACAATTTAGCCTACCCAATTCACCTGTTCCGCATGTCTTTGGATTGTGGGGGAAACCGAAACACCCGGAGGAAACCCACGCGAAGGCAGGGAGAACATGCAAACTCCACACAGAGGTTGAGCCGAGGTTCGAACCAGCGACCTTCTTGCTGTGAGGCGACAGCACTACCTATTGCGCCACTGCCTCTTTCCCGTAGGAAAATATTAAATAATAAGTAATCCGCTGCGTAAAAACCTGCTGGATAAGTTGGCAGTTCATTCCGCTGTGGCGACCCCGAATTAATAAAGGGACTAAGCCGACAAAAAAATGAATGAATTGTAATAAAAATGAAAAATCAAAAGAAGCAATAAACAATCAAATTTAATTGAAATGTTGTAGTTTGTAATTTCTAATTGCAGTAACTTGTTTTTGAGGATAATTTTTTTGCCAAACGAGCAGACACATATGAATGTGGATGTAAATGTATAGATGAGAACATATTCACAAGATGACTCTTAGTTTCCAGATGAGTCTGTGTTACTGTAGGTTCACACCGAAAGCAGCGCGAGCGTCAAAGTAGCCGGAAGTCATTTATTTTCAATGAGAGCCGCCGGCGATAAGCAGCAAGGAGCAGCGGGCACGTCTTCACCAGTGTGGGCATCGAGGAGAGTTGAAATCAACTTACCTTTATGGTAATGACTATCACGTGGTTCGGTGGCAACCAATGAGAATGAAGAAGTCCACCGCTTGAGAGGAGTTCAGAGAACACAGACCTGTGAACTTTGGCTCCGACCACTGTTGTTGCCAAGGGTTCGATGATTGCGGTCGCCAGGTGTCCAATTATTTATAATGTTTTCTCACAGGAACATGCATTAAATAAGTTACTGGCGAGTTCCAGATGTGCATTAATGTCATATATTATTATTTTTCTTTAAAAAAGCGTAAATCTCACGCGACAATACAAAACAGTATCGCTGCTTCAGGATATTTCAGACATATGGACACAATGGATAATTAGGTGGAGCAAAGCCACACCACACACAACTTGATCTTACATTGTTATATAAATTTAATAAAAAAAGTGTGCAACATTTTCACGCTAAAAGCATGTGTTATGCAGGAATGTGTCTGATATGCTGCAACGGCCCCTTTACATACAAGATCAATAGGGGTGTCAAAAATAATCGTTTCTTCTGTGCATCGCGATGCAGACGCGGACAATTCGGTATCGGTTCAGTAATAATCATAACCGGTTATTACTGACGTCATTTACCTCATATGCGCTCTGCCGCGAGGGAGACGAGCGCGAGTATTTACAGCGCTTAAACTACTTAAAACTCATAAACTGTGCACAATTTCACTGTGTGTGTTTGCTGGATCAGTCTTTCACAGACATATACAACAATAGCCCCTATTTCACTGAGATCCAGAGAATGAAAGTACTCCATTTCTCTCTCGCGTGCGCTCTGTCTCTCTCTCTCTTTCACACACACACTGGCCCATTTGTGACCTGCTGGCGTGGCTTTTCTTCTCCTCTCGGCTGTTTTACAGCGTTACTTTTGCATCCAGACACGAGCGCGTGTCTGCAGAGTTTTCTCCACCGTGTCTATCATGCATCAGCTGTGAGATCGCCGCTGCCGCCTGCCGCTTATCAGCATCACTCATCTGTGAAGAACGCAGCGCACGAGAGCCAATCACAACCGTTTTTGTTGAGGGTGTGACCAATCAAAGGGGTGTGAGAGAACTAGACAAGGATCAGAAATTGAGCGGGATATTTATATTTGTTTATATTATTTGCTAAATGCTCGTTTTGTTTAAAGTTACAGTTTATAAATCTGACTGTTTGTATTAAATGACAAAATTGTATTACAAATAATATATAAATATAAATATATTCATACATTTTAATACAAGAAATGCTGCTGTGAAGAAAATATAAAACTGTGTATGGAAAGCACCGTCAATGCACCGTGATGCACCGAAATATCGAATTGAACCGAATAGATGGCATGATAATCGTAACCGAACCAAACCGTGAGACTAGTGTAGGTTCACACCTCTAAAGATCAATGTAGCAAATTTTGACGCTCTCGTCGCCTGAGCTGAAGGCAGACAGCGTTGTCGCCAGGGCAGCCAGAGCGACCTTTGACGCTCTCACTGCCTTCGGTGTGATCGCACAGTTATTCAGCGATCGTTATCTGGGGTAAATATATCTTGAAATGCCACAAATATTCCAGACTGCAGTGTAATAAGTCAGTAAAACACACACCTACCCCACAATACTCCAGCATGCTGATGATTTCCTCCTCATAGACAGTGTGTGTCGCGTACTGCTTCTCCAGCTCTCTCCAGTTCACCGCTCGACTTAAAACACCCTGCACAAACAAACGGATCATTTTAGGTGCAATCAATAAATCACTCAGATGGCTTTTGTGGGATATTAAAAGATTTGAAAGCTGGCACAAAATCTTTCACCCCCTATGACATTTTAATTGCTTTGTAAAAAATAAAGTGCCGTTTAACAAGAGAGTTTTTTTAGCACATTTTTATTTTTATTTTATTTGCTTGTTTATTTTACAGGGACAATACACTTGACATGGTTACAAAGATAACCGATGTTGTGTACATAGGGCATATAGCATAAAGCTAATTTGCAGCCCTTGTCCCTGGTTAGGCTTTACATTATAAAAAAATAAATAAATAATAATAATAATAAAGAAAACCGGCAAGAATAAAACACAATACAGCAAACATGTACAATATTTACAGAGCCATAAACATAAGATGCAAGTCCATATGGATAAAGAGAAATGTAAATGGGACCAACCTGAAAGAATAATGCTTAATGTTCACATTACTGTAAAGATTTCAACCATTCTTTTAGCTTCACAGAAAAAACTGGGAGTTCTGATTGTAACTTTAAATGAACAGGCATGGCATTCCATAGATGTGAACCTTTTACTGAAAAGGATGACTGACCCACAGCGGTTCTGCATCTGCGGATTCTACAATTCCCACTTACTGCCCCTCTAGTCTTCGCCCCAACACTACTGAATTTATTTCAGTAGTTTCTAATCATAATAGTAGTTTCTAATCATAATAGTTTTATTATTTTATTTCTAATAATGTAATGTAATGTGTGTATTTATATAGTGCATGTATCGTGTATGTCCATACACCCCAAATGCTTTAGAATCGTGAGGGGGGTCTCTCCACACCACCACCAGTGTACAGCTCCACTTGGATGATGCTCTGGCAGGCACAGGACAACAGCACCAGGGCTTCACCACACACCAGCTATAGGTGCAGTGGAGAGATAGTGATGGAGCTAATTCAGTGGAAGGGGATGATAGGAAGGCCATGATCGCCGATTGAGGAACTTTGGCCAGGACACCGGGGTTACACCCCTGCTCTTTCACGAGAAGTGCCATGGGATTTTTTAATGAGCACAGAGCACAGAGCACCTCGGTTTAAAGATCTCATCTAAAGGACCGCGCTCACTGACAGTATGGTGTCCCCTTCACTATACTGGGGCATTAGGACTCACACAGACCGCAGGTTGAGCGCCCCCTGCTGGCCTCACTAACACCACTTCCAACTGCAACCTAGTGTTCCCTAGTGGTCTTCCGTCCAGATACTGACCAGGCTCAGCCCTGCTTAGCTTCAGTGAGGGACCGCTCTTGGGCTGCAGGGTGATCTGGCTGTGGCATAATAACTGATTTCTTTTATCTTTGCATGATGCATGTTGTATTCATGCAACACATTCGTCTTATATTAAAAAAAACTACCGAGATGCTGCACCAAATGAATAATCTGAACCTTACTGTGGTAAAAACACTTGAAGCAGTCGTCCAGGATAAACACGGTATGAGAGGAATGGGTTTGGGCCAGTTGGTAACAGCTAACGAAGCCATCTAGGGAGAAACAAAATGAATAGGTTTGCATAGGAACAAAAACAACACAGCTGACTGGTTGGTACAGTAGGTCATGATAAATCCTTGTTATTGTGCTATATATTGCAAAGTTTTGCAATCAATTTTATTTTAATACCAATTTATGCAAGTGATTATATAATGATATAGGCACAAACACTTTAAGAATAGAAACACATCATTCTTAAGGTTATTTAGATTTTGTAATTTGATGTTAAAAGGGTAAATAATATTAAAAGGGTAAAAATATGCTAATATTTTCCAGAAGAGGTGGAAAAGTATTATAAAATGCTTCCCATCTTAAGTGTAACTTGCTTGTGTTGTGCAATTGGATTTACAAATGTTTCCTCTGAAGAAGTTATGATGGCAAACTTTATTATCATGATTAAAAACAAAGTATATTCTCATCTGTTAGGTCAGGGCTAATTAATTAGTTGGTCATGGGGGCTGGTTCATGAAAAGCATCCCAAACGAAGGGCCGGAGAGATATGACTTGCTATATGAGTGATGACACAACTGTATATAAGAGCACATATGCTGTATATTTTTGCTCACTAAGACACCCATGTTGGCTTTTTCTACATTCAAATGTTAATATATTGTATTTTGAAACTACATAATAATACTTCATTGTACAATAGACTTTTTACAACCATTCAAATGTGGGAAAAAACAGGCTTGTTGAAGTGCTTGTTGACCTGCAGACGCAGGAGACCCGTCGACAGAGCTTAAACCCTCTCCTCTTTCCATGAAGTCGCCGGTGTGGAAGCATTTTGGATTTCCAGTGAGTTATGTTGACAACGTTCGTGTTGTCGACAAAAAAAAAACTCAGTTTTGCAAGCTCTGCTATGTACGTATTAAACGGTTCCTCCGATAGACAACACCAGCATCGAGATCCTCTGCCCGCCCCCGTTGCAAATCCGCTGGCGAAAAGTTCACACTCAGGCCCTGTTTACACTGTCTTTGTTTTTAAATGGCATTTTAGAACGACAACGATTTGACATCCACAGTGGCGTGTAGCATTTCTGAGCAGCCCTCCTTCCTCTCTACCTCTGAAAATGCACATCACGTGACCACACACACACAGACGCACACACAGCCATGCGCTCGAGACAGCAGGTCCAGGCAGTCAGAGGACTGCTTCAATCTTTCACTCACTTGTACTGAGTCATTTTAGCGAACACCTCAGATACTGTTGGCTGGTTCCTGTTGGTTGTGCGTCTTTTTTACCGACGCCATTATAACGACACAGATCACTGCCTATTCACGAGTCCCGCAGAAAAAATGATTGACAGGTGGTAATTATGTGTGTGTCTTGCCTTTATTCATTTACTGTATGATTTGTTTATGGGTAAAACACAGAACATGCAGGTCAGGTAGTTTAAACGGTAGGCTACAAATAATTAATTGGTCATTAATCAATTAATTATTCATAATCGAATCGAATCATGACTTTAGAATCTAAAATGTAATCGTATCGAGGATTTGGAGGATCGTGACACCCTTAGTATTTCAGAGCACAACAGAAGCAGTGCATTGCTGAAGTAGGCTTCATCTACATTCAGACACATTCATATGTTTGAACTGCATAACAATTGGTGATGCAACAATTATAGATTTTGGTTGTACAATTATATAGTCTGAAGAATAATCACTGTTTCACGGTTATCACGTCTAATGTAAATTCAAGCTTTATATTAGGTAAGCAGCTATTTAGATTAACTGTTGTTTCCATCTGCATTCATGCATACATAATCATTTTATTAGTAATTCGTCTAACAGATCTTTTGTTTACATTGCACTGAAAGGCACGCACAACTCTCACCGTGAGATGTTTTCTACTGCGTGCGCTCAGGGGCGCAACTGCACATTTACTGATGGGTATGCGGCTTCAACTTTTGCGCGCCCCCCCTTCAATCCAACTATATTTTATAACAGGCAAGTGATAAAATGTGGAAAATATTTCCATCAATAAATTATAGATATTTTTTCATAAAGATATCAATATGCTTCAAAAAATACAGTTTCGCAGTTCTGAACACACCTGAAATAGTATGAAGTAGTAAAAGGTATAATTACATTAAGCATGTTAAGTCGCAAAGAAATGCATCTCTTACCACCCCAAATTTCTTCTCAATTTAATTTTCCCTCACTAAATGATTATATCACCTTGACTAGCCTTGCTTTTGGACTTTTTGTACTACATTTGTCAAAACAAAATGATAGACATGGGAGTCCTAAAGGGCAAAAGAACATTGCAATTACTTCTCACATGCATACTGTGAGAAGTGTAAGGTCTGTCTTTGGAAGAACAATTGACTGAAACTGCTAAAAGTTAAATAAAAAAGACTGTCAAATGTTTAGAGTAAAAAAAAAAAAAAACAGAAACAAACAAATGTTCTATTTAATTGAAATGTTATAACTTTGTTTGTAGCTAAAATTAAAATAGTTTGGAGCTAAGAAGTTACCAAAAGGCCTGATGAATCAATATGATACATAATAAATTCATAAAAAACATGTATATGGTATGAAAAATGGGGGTGGGTGGGGGGTGGAGTGATTTTTTAATTTAATAAAATACAATATTATACGCGTATAAAATGCTAAATAAAATTTTTTAACAAATATATATATATATATATATATATATATATATATATATATATATATAAATTATTTGAAACTTTTAATATGAATAATTAAAAAAATTGTTTTGGCACAATGGCGCCCCCCATGTGTGGCACCCCTATGCGCCGCATATACTGCATACCCCCTTTTTGCGCCACTGCGTGCGCTTATGATGACTCACACTCTGTGCAGCCTTTAACTGCAGCTCGTGCTGTTATTGAACAGACGCACTTTACTTCATAACTATAGCGGCCGTTTGTCGACTGAACTAAATCTATTTTTGATGTCTTGGTCACACTGTTTGGAGGGCCGGAACAAAGTGCCTCGGGGGCCAGATTCGGCCCACAGGCCACCAATTGAATAGCCCTGTGTTGGGGGCTTAAATGCAGGGGAAGGGGTGTTCTGAAAAAAAAAGGGTTTTAAAATTACAAATAAAAAGGGAAAAAAAGAGTATATGTCTGATTATAAGTTTTATGTGTGTTATCATTATTTAATTTGACTTTTAATTAGTTTTAAAATGGCAATTTAGTTTTGTTATTCGATCAAATATATTTCTATTTTACAAAGAAATATGCAACTTATTGTCTTAGAAAAATCATTAAAATCTTATCAGTATTGTGAATGTTGAGTTGAATGACTGGTTAAATCCCCAATGAAGGGAAAGGTAAATGAACCTACATGTCCACCCATAGAGATGCCAGTCATGCCCAGTGGCCAGAATCCGTCTCTCTCCAGCCAGTGCAGAAGCGCAGCCGACTCCAGAATCAGCGCTCCGCCCATCACAAACAGGTCTGACACGTTCTTCAGACTCGAGCGACTGAAACACATCACATACAGAGGAAAAAAAACTAACTAAAATTACTCAGACTCTAAAAATGCACCAAAATTAATATACTTGGGACTTGTGGAGTACTGCGCATGGATGAATTTGTTCTTCAGTGTTTGGACTTTCAGTAGTGAAAATTAAACCACACTGAACTAAACTGAACTGAACTGAACTTTAACTCTGAACGTCTGTGTTCAGCTGCTGCGACAATCTACATTGTAAAAGCACTATAGAAATAAGGATGAATTGAATTAAACTCTGACCCAAAACCAAACATTCTGCATGGACTTGGGACACAACTAAAAAAGCTGCTTTATACATAGTTCATGCTAGTAAATACACAAATTATGATGACATCTTATTGTAAAGTGTTTCTTAATGTAATTTAAAAGTAGTCAGGTTACTTAGACAAACCTAAATGTGTAATCTAAGAGATAATATTACTGACTTTATTTTGTCTTTAAATCAGTTAATAAGCAATCTAATCAGGTAAGTTTTTGCTATCATCACATAAATACCACTGTGAACATGCATTGTTCAGAAAAATGCTGCATGCCACAAAGACTGGACATTAATATCACCATTACAGTAAACAAACACTCACAGCTGGTCTTTGGGTTTTCTGTATCCGTGTGCAGCTCAGAGTCAAGGAGAGATATGAGATATAACTCTATTAATAAAACATCTTAAAAGCTATTAAAAATATCCAATAACTTGCAGATTTTGGAGAATAAATTAAAATAGCGGGTGTTTAAAATTTAAGACTTTGCTCTGAGTATTTATCAAGATGTTTCAGCAATAAAATTTGATATTTTTAGATTTGTAAAAGAAAGTATATTTTTAAAAGCATTTAAAATATATTAATATAATAAAATATATTTAAATATTACTAGTTAATAATATATATCTGCTTAAGAAAGAAAACCTTTTGAAAACAATCCCCAAACAGTCAGAAATTTGTTCGCAAATATATATTTACATTTATTTGTAATAAATTTATTTGTATTATTACTTGACAGTTTTAAAAATATATATTTATGCAAAAATATGCTCAATAAATAGAAATCTGGTTACATTTATAGATTTTAAATATAAAAACATTTGAGCAAAATGAGCTTTCAATAATGTGAAGACTAATTATTATTATTATTTATTATTATTATTATTTATTATTATTATAACATATTATTCCCATTTGGTCAATAATATGTTCACAAATATATATATAAGATTAATAACAAACAAAAAAAAAAATCACAATAAAAAAATTATATATTTATGCAAATATACGTTCCATAAACAGAAATTATTGTGGTTACTAAAACCAATTTGGTAAATATGTTAAACTGTGACACTTGAAAGAATTTTATCCTATTTTATTTTTAAATATATATAATTTTTTTATATAGCAACATATTATTGTGCTCTATAGAGTTTCCATAAATTAAACTTTTCAATTTCCAGTCTGCTGCATTTGAGTGCGTATGAATAGAAGTCTATGGGGAAAAAAAAGTGAAGTGTGACCACAGCTTAAATCTCTAACAAAGACTCCTCCCTTTCCCCATCAGCCAATCACTGTAAGTATGGTTAATGAGCAGATGACAGATGAAGCAGATGAAGTTAAACCCCGCCTCCACCCTATGCTTAGTGTTAGTTCACCCAAAAAATTATATTTTGTGATTGATTACTCTTAACTGTTTAAGTATAATCTACATAGCAAATTACTGCGACTGTAATTTAGCTTTGTGTAAGGATATAATACGGATTCTCCAGCAGAAGAGACGCCATCCCTGATTCTTTAACCATCGGCCTGGCCATTAGTGTTCGTCTTCTCCAGAAAAACTGGGGAAATAAAAAACAATACAGATGCACAGAATTCAGATGAAACAGTAATTATTTAATACTTACAGTAAATAAACTATACATTTATAATTAGACAATTATTGCATGTTTTTATCAAACATGAAATACAATAAAATTGAACCATTACAGTTTTAAAAAGCGATTTTGCAAAAATTTTACAAATGTACATTTTGAGATTTAATAAAGCTGACTGTGAAGAAGACATTAAAGTGCAAAAAAAGATAGATATACAACAAAAATGCATTAGTATGGTAATGCAATGCAGTGGTACCTACACAGTTTCTTTTTAGTGACCAATGCTGTATTTATTTGACCAAATATATAGTTAAATCTACAACACAATGACATATTATTAAAATTTGAAATTACTATTTTCTATGTGAATGTATATTCAAATGTAAATTATATGACGTTTCAGCATAATTATTCCAGTATTACATGAAAACACAGTATAATGTTTTGATTCTGTCATAATTAGAACATCATAATTTACATATATTTACTAACCGGCCACTTTATTAGGTACACCTTACTAGTACTGAGTTGGACCCCTTTTTGCCTCTAGAACTGCTTTAATCCTTCATGGCGTAGATTCAACAAGCTGCTGGAAATATTCCTCAGAGATTTTGCTCCATATTGACATGATAGCATCACAGTTGCTGCAGATTTGTCGGCTGCACATCCATGATGCCAATCTCCCGTTTCACCACATCCCAAAGCTGCTTTATTGGATTGAGCTCTGGTGACTGTGGAGGCCATTTGAGTACAGTGAACTCATCGTCATGTTCAAGAAACCAGTCTGAGATGATTGAGCTTTATGACATGCTGCGTTATCCTGCTGGAAGTAGCCATCAGAAGATGGAGACACTGTGCTCATAAAGGGATGGACATGGTCAGCAGCAATACTCAGGTAGGCTGTGGCGTTGACACCATGCTCAATTGGTACTAATGGCCCAATGTGTGCCAAAAAATCTCTCCCACACCACTACATTCCAGATCTTAGCTGACAGGAGCGGCACCCGGTGTGCTCTTCTGCTGCTGTAGCCCATCCGCCTCAAGGTTGGCCGTGTTGTGTGTTCAGAGATGCTCTTCTGCAGAGCTCGGTTGTAACGAGTGCTTATTTGAGTTACTGTTGCCTTTCTATCAGCTGGAACCAGTCTGGCCATTCTCCTCTGACATCTGGCCTCATCAACAAGGCATTTGCGCCCACAGAACTGCTGCTCACTGGATATTTTCTCTTTGTCGGAGCATTCTCTGTAAACTCTAGAGATGGTTGTGCGTGAAAATCCCAGTAGATCAGCAGTTTCTGAAATACTCAGAGCAGCCCATTTGGCAGCAACAACCATGCCACGTTCAAAGTCACTTAAATCCCCTTTCTCCCCATTCTGATGCTCGCTCTGAACTGCAGCAGATCCTCTTGACCATGTCTACATGCCTAAATGCATTGAGCTGCTGCCATGTGATTGGCTGATTAGAAATGTGTGTTAACAAGCAGTTATTAGTAACAGTTGTTCCTAATAAAGTGGCCAGTGAGTATAAGTATATAAAAAACTCTTACAGACCCCAAAATGCACACACACATGCATAGACACACACACACTCACATGGTCTCCTGTTCCAGCCAGGTGAATACACACAGGTCTGTGCTTCTTCCATCTCTTGGGCACAATAAACTGGAATCTGGCGGGAAAGTTGAAACAATGCTCTTCATTTGAAAGGATTTGTTTTTGTCACATTAATCCCTCACGTTTGCATGAAGTGTTTGTGTCTGATGTGTTGTGGTTACCGGGCTTTGACGGATTCGGCTGGCAGGATGCCCGGGACAAAGTGCTCCAGCGGAGATATGAAGTGACCGCTGTGGATTTTGCAATCAGCCTGATCTTCTACCTTTGGGTACAGGAGCAGCACACGGTTAATAAGTTATCATTTATTGTTATTTCTGCTCAGATTTTTGTAAAAAAAAAAAAAATGCTAAGTATTTATGTGGAATAACTTTTGAATATGAGCAAATGTCAACCTTGCCATAAAAAAAAAAAGTGAAACCCCTTTCTAAGTGATTTGTGTAGGCTTGTGTTGTACAGCACTGCAGAAATACCACTAGACTAGATAAAAAAAAGGGATGAACATGCACCCACAGTCTTGCTGCTTTCAAGAGCTCCAGATTAGTCTTTTTGTAAGCAGCACCGGTTGCTTTCGTTTTTATTTATTTTATTATTTATGGTTCTAATATTAACCGTGTGTGTGACCATGTTGTTTACCTGCTTTCTTTTGCCTTAACACGGTTTAATTATCATTTTTTTACCATAACATTGCTTTAATGGGAGATTAACTCTCCATTTATGTGTGGTAAGGTCTGGGACCTTATAGCAGGACTGATTACTTTGCATATGTTTTGTTAAATAAAAAGTATAGTATACAGCTATATTTTGCTTGCTTTGACACATTTTTAAATTGTGGCTAAGAAATATTTGTTTATGTTTGGTGTGGTCAGAGATACATTTGGTAAATCCTTTCTTTTTGAGTTCTGAAAATTCATGCGAAATAAAAACTAATCATAATACTATGAGACCAAGACCCATTTGCTCATAACTATTGAGCAAGCTCATACACGACACACAAAAAGTAAAATGACTGAGCAGGCATGCGGAGATAACGCAAAATCTAAATCACGTCATTTTAGCATGTCAAAGTCATATTTATATGTATAAAATATATTTTCCCAACAACAAAATTGTGGCTAGTGAAAATGGCGAGTGGCTAGTAATGTTGGAAATCTAATAGCCACAGTGGCTGGTGAACAAAAAAGTTAATGTCAAGCCCTGGATGCAACGATTGACTGGTTTCACTATTAACCGCACTTTAATTCGTCATGGTTAAAGGCTTCTTAACACAGAGTTTCTGCACGGAACAAAACTACTGCAACTTAAAATTACACCAACTGTGCGCTAGTTTAAAGTTCTGAGTTTGTAAACCAAGGCTAATACACACACACAGTCGGTTGGTAAACACGTCAGTTGGTGAAGTTACTTTAGTTCCTCTCCACTGGCTTGCTCGGATTGGGACTTGTGGAGCTGTGCATGGATGGATTTGTTCTTCAGTGTTTGGACTTTCAGCAGTGAAAATTAAACCACACTGAACTTATCTAACAGAACTTCAACTCTGAAATCAGAACTTCTATGTTTAGCGCTAAAGAAATAAACTTGAATTGAACACACTGGATTTACTATGGCAGAGGCTATTAATTAAGGGCTGTTAACATGTTGTGTCTTTTGTGCATGCAAGTTCATTATTTATTTCCTTGCATGCATTTTGGGTGTGACGTGCACTCAGTTATTAACTTATTTTTAAGTCCAAAGAGAAATGGACTATTGTTTAGTTTTTTTATTATTATTTTGTGTTGTATTATTTGGTTACTGAGCAGCCATAAATAACACTTTAAAATATAGAGTTTTCATATGAGGTTCTAAACTAGTAGTGTTTTAAAATGAATGAATGAATGAATGAATGAATGAATACATAATTATCGTGATAACCGTGAATCCACGATTATAACTTTATTAATTGTACAATTAAAATCTATAATCGTTGCATCCCCAATACAAATAAATGTTTCAATATAATGTTAAAATATACTTTCTCTGAATTTGTTTTAATTCACTGCATATATAAAATAAAAAATACTTGTAACTTTCATTTAAGGTTATAAGGTTATATTCATTATAAGTTTTTTATCCTTTTATTTTCATTAATATTTATTGAATTTAATAATTACATTATATATATATATATATATATATATATATATATATATATATATATATATATATATATATATATATATATATATACACACAAACACACAAACACACACACACACACACACACACACACACACACACACACACACACACACACACACACACACACACACACACACACACACACACACACAATCACACATATAATTTTCGGTAGTAGTAGCTGTAATACTTGTAATTATTATTGTTGTTGTCAGTTATTATTACTGTTGTCCTTTTTTTCAACTGTCATTATTACTAACATTACTATCATTGTTGTCACTCCTTACCACTGATTGTTTTTTTCCTCAATCTATTTTATTTATATCTATGCTATTTGCTTTATTTAATGACTGTTATACATGTTGTTTATGTATATGTATATAAAAAAATATATATTTTTTTCCCTTATGCATGTACTCTGACCGTCCACCTAGTTACCTTTACATGCACACACACACAGTTGTGTTTTCTTAGCATGTGATCCCATTTTGTCTACTACTTGCATATTCTATTTTTTAATTAATTAATAATAATAATAATAATAATAAAAGGTTTATAATGTAAATGCAATGAGATCCACATGCTTGGTAAACAAAGCAAATCTCTCATATAACAATGCTAAAATATTAAAATAAAGATTTTTTTTTCTTTTTGTGTAAGATAATAAAAGAAATATAAACACATTTCTACTCATAATAGTTTTAATAACTCATGTCTAATAACTGATGTATTTTCTCTTTACCATGAAGACCACATAATATTAGACTAGATATTCTTTAAGACACTAGTATTCAGCTTTAAGTGACAAGTAAAGGCTTCACTAGGATAATTAGGGTAAAGTTAGGGTAATTAGGCAAGTCATTGTATAACAGTGGTTTGTTCTGTAGACAATGCAACACTAATATTGCTGAAGGGGGCTAATAATAATTCACTTTAAAATGGTTTAAAGCAACTACAAACTTTCATTCTAGCTGAAATAAAACAAGACTTTCTCCAGAAGAACAAAATGTTAGAGGAAATACTGTGAAAATGTTCTTGCTCTGTTAAACAGCACAACTGTATGTGTAACTATTATTGATAATAATACAGATGACCATTTGTAATAAGCGTATCTTACCTTGTCGATAAATATGGGGTAATCTCTCTCTACCAGACTCTTGCATTTCTCCCTGTCGCCAATAATCTTCCGGAACTCGAATATTCTGCAATATCCAAAAAAGTATGCTTCAATTAAATTGATAATAATAATGCTAATAATTAAAATCTGTGCTTTTGGCACTTCTGAATGCAGTATCAATTAAATGCAATATTTCAGAAACAAATATACGCTTGTGCACACTGGTCTCTCGTTGTCAAGTCAAATTTGAATTAGAATTTCCATTTTGGCAAAACAATACCTTTTTTCTTGAGCTGATAGTGAATCAGTATATATAACACAATATAATAATCACATATAACAACATAAAAATATCTGAGAATAAGAATTAAAAAATATCAGGGAATAATGGTTGAAATTGTCATTATTATTATTAGGGGTGTCAAAATTTGTTGTTTCTTCGGTGCACCGCGATGCAGATGGGGACAGTTCGATATCGGTTCAGTAATAGATCATAACAGGTTATTACATACTGACGTCATTTATCTCCTTTGTGCGATGTTGCAGTAGAATACTTTGATGAAGGAGGCGAGGGAGACTAAATAAAACGCTCTGAATACTTAAAAGGCAGATTATTATGCACAGCTCAATGGCTTGTGAGTTTGCTGGAAAGTCTTTCGTTGAGCACAGCACACGAGCCGCGATTTCACTACTATGGGGAAATGCTGGAAAAATCCATCTCTGCCTCTCTTTCTCACTTTGGACGTTTGACCCGCTGCGCTGGCCTGTTTGTGAGTTAACTTTTCCTCTCCTTTTGGCTGTTGAAGCAATACTTGTGGATCCAGACATGAGCCTGCCTGAGTTGCAAGTATTCTTCACTGTGTCTATTACAGATTACCTGTAATAACCGTGTATTATGCACATATGGACTATAACTGCGGCTGTTATTCCCGCATAACTAATCGGTGATTTATTTTTAAATCCAAGCGCAGCCCTTTCTGTTGAGCGGGTGAGGACAACAACCAATCATTGTGGTGTAAGACAAAAGCAAGCGGGATGATATTTACATGAGTTTATTTGCTGTAAACGCTCGTGCTGTCATCTGTGCATGTGTTAGAGTTTTGTTTGAGACATTCAGAAAGAGTGTTTTTTTTGAGCAGGTCAAATTAAAGGTACAGTTCATATATCTGACTGCTGTATTAAAAGACAATAGTGTTTTACAAATAATATATAAATATTTATATATTTATATATTTTAATTGGTGCTGTCAATCAATAAAAAAAGTTAACTAATTAATCGCGACTGAAACTTGTAATTTTGGCTATTCAAATGTAAATTAATGTAAACGCAAGACAAAAACTATTTAAATTCAAAATATAATTGTTATTAGAATTTTTGTTTAACTTGCAGCACAGATTTCTTCATTTAAACAACATATCTACAATAAACCATCAAGATCCTGGCTTGACAGCCATATTTATTACAGAAATTAAACACAGGCATGTTAATGCCATCTGAATTTCAAAACAATCAATGCTAATAAAGAAAACATTGATCTCCATGTTGGATTCTAAGTGGACTGCAAAAAATGCCAAAACACAGACATTGCAGATATAAAAAATTATCATTACAATAAAGTATAGAATATAAACACTTGTGCTCATGGTAAAGTTGTATTGCTGTGAGTTGAGAACATTAGTTATAAAGTAGAAACAATTTAGCTCAGTCCTCCTTTACATTCAGCCAGTTGCTGAGACATTCCAGTCTGTTGACATTATCAGGGGACAATGTGGACCTTTTCTTATAAATGAGGTGAGCTAAGAGTGCAACGCAATCTCACAAAAATTCATAACTTTCTGATTAAGTGGCTACGGACAACAACGTTTAGGCAGGTTAGCTAAGAAACATGCACACGCAGACGCAGACAGGACAGGGCAGCCGGAGCGACTCTCTTCAGATTCAGCACGCATGATCGCGTTCATCAAATTTGCTTAAAGAGCCCATATTATACATGAAATAGGGTCATATCTTGGTTGTAAGGGTCTCCAACAACAGTCTAATATGCATGCAAGGTCAAAAAACACTTTCATGGTCTTATAATCTGCATTTATTTTTACCTAATTATCCCAGCGACTCCTGTATGAATCGTCCAGTGATTCATTTGTTCCCAAACCCCTCCTTAGCGCGAAGCTAATCTGCGCTGATTGGACCGATGACAGTCTGTCGCGATTGGTCGACTGCCTTCAGTCAGAGAGGGAAATGGCCAATAGCTAATCAGCAATATAAAAGTAATCACAGTTCATACACGCTCGATAGTGTAGGCGTGGATTTTAGCTGCCACACTATGGCGAGTGGATAGTGCCACGGATAACCGAACGAAGGAGACAGTCGTGTACTCGCCATACCACACACACACACACAAAAACACACACACACCTCCGGATGACAACGCTCCCGCTTCCGCCCGCACCCGCCAGGTTTTAGCCTGAGAACCCGCTCCGTTTTCTGCCCGCCGCGCCCGGTCCCGCTAGAGCGGAGAACACAACCAAAAATCACCCAGTATACAGTCCAGACAGCCAAGCTGTCTGTATAAACACATACACAGCACAAAGCACACAGAGCTCGTTCGTTCGTTCGTTCGTTCGCTCTCTCTCTCTCTCTCTCTCTCATACGCTCTCTCATACCAAGCAGACTCTCTCTTTCTAATTCACATAGCAATATCCGTGATATTGCTAGACAGCCCGCTCCCGTCCCACATTAAACCCGTTACCGACCGCTCCCGCGATTTATTCGGAAATTTATTCCCGCGGCTGTCCCCGCGCCAGATTTCTGCGGCGCGGGAATAAATTTCCGAATAAATCGCGGGAGCAGAACTCTAGCACGGAGCTCCATAAACAAACAGCACGCGTCGCGTTTTTAACGTGACTTTGCACGCGATAAGAGAATATAGCCAGTTAACCTGATACAGTACACGCGGTTACAAGTAACAAATCACAACTAAATACATTTGCAAGCTAGAGTAAACGAGGCAACAACTTTAACCGCACGTACTTACACTTGAGAAATGGAAGAAACCCATCCTGACGTCCAGCAGTTACTCTTTACTGATCCTTCCTTTAACAAACTCAGATGAAGTATTCTTTGTAGCATGTAGCTTCCAGAAGTTTCCAACTGCTTGGTTATAATGCTGAGGTTTCATCTTTGGGTAGAGACTCAATATATCCATCTACAGTGTGATTTCAATCAACCGGCATGTTTGTGTGTGTGTGTGTGTGTGTGTGTGTTTGTGGGTGTGTGTGTGTCTGGGTTTCTGCGTCAGAGGGTGGGGCCTCAGGTTTGAAATCTCCCAGGTTTGCGCGTGCACGTGAATAACTTGGTTTCGTTCGTACGTCATGGCGAAACACCTAATGAGTCGGTATCAAGGCGACTCGTTCGAAGCACTATGAGTCGACTCTTTTATAGATGAATCAACAGTTTTAAACACTGTACACTAACAGATTTAAGCCTTAGCTGGATACTTCACTTCACTTAGAGCTGTGTTACACACTACATGGAGGGGAATTTTCAAAAACCCATAATATGGGCTCTTTAAACTAAGCGTTCTAAAGTATGACTATATTTCACAAGGATTCTTACAACAACGCAATACACTTTACAAAAGTGCCGTTTACTGGGGAAACACGTCAAACTTAATGAAACATTTGAGGCCGCATGCTGAAAGGCAGAGGAATGAGCTGTCTTTGACAGCTCTCGACTTCATCTTACACTTTCTGAGTTCATTTACATGGACACCAATACTCTGATTTTAATATGATTAAGATTATTCTCTTATTAAGAGTCGACCATGTAAGCAGTGATTTTTGATTACCTTAAAGGACCACCGAGTCATGAAATGCGGAGGTTTTTCTTTCCGTTCGCCATGCGCTATCAAACTCCATTAAAACAAAAGTCGAATAATTAAAAATGAAACATAGGAAATGAGATGAGACTCTGGAGGAAACGCTGGAGAGCCTGCTGATGCGACATTAATTGGTTTTATACTGAAACTTGCCTTAAAAAAGTGCTTCCTTGGTCTTATCTATATTTCTTTGCATGTTGAACACACGTCGACCACAACAGGAATTTAAAAAAAACTGCAACTACTTTAATTGCGTTCATTTTTTTTACGCGTTAAATATTTAAAATTAATCGCATGTGTTAAGGCAATAATTTTGACAGCTGTAATTTTAGTTTAAAAAATCTTGTGTTGTGAAGAACGAATCTAATTATGTATGAAAAGCATCATCAATGCACCGAGATATCGAATTGAACCGAATCGATGGCATAATAATCAAAACCAAACCGTGAGACCAGTGTAGGTTCACAATTCAATTGTTTATTCAAAAACAAAAACTGACAATAAATAGGGCTATAAAAATATTATTACTATTGTACTATTATAATAGAACAATTATATACATAATTATTTAATATAATTTATTTATTTGTTTATTTATTTTGACTATGACTTTATAATGACTGTATTTACATTCACTTAATAAAGACTAATATATTACATATTATTATTTATTTATGAAGAAAAAAAATTTAAAACTTACAGATCCCAAACTTAATTAGGTTGCAGTAAACACATATTTTGGATTTTGTAATATATCAGGTAAAAATAGCATGAATATGAACGTTCAGTAATACATGGCGCATATAATATCCATGGTTAATTATCATTCAGTCCTCATTATTCTATGAGCTCCTCAGTGTTTATTTGTGTCTGTAATGTACCTCTTAAGATCCTCCGGCTTCCCCCATCCGCGGATGAAGAGTTTGGTGAGGAGAAGCCTGCGGTACAGAACATCAAGCCGACTCACACCCATGGACAACACACATTCTCCTGTAGAACACACACTCACAGGTCAGAATCCAGAAGCTTTACGGCTTCACACACACACTCCAGCATGTAAAAAAACAGCAGATGAGAGGCTGTAAGAGCAGAACACACACACACACACACACATTGATTGCACGACTGTTGAAATGTATAATTTATTTATGCTTTTTACTGTGCATATGACAATATATAAATTAAATGAAAGAGAGAGCTCACCTGTGTTCATTAACCTATGTGAGTGTAAGAGAGTGATGTTTGTGTTTACCTGTGTATATTTGTGTGTGTGTGTATCTACAGATGTGAGTGTGTTTATATGAACTTGTGTGTATGTGTAAGTTTTTGAGTGAGTGTTTGTGCTCATCTGTGTATTCATGATGGGGTTGTGTGTGTGTCTAAGAGTGTGGTTTCACCTGTGTGTACTCATAGGTGTGTGAGTTTGTGTGTGCCTTCTCTCTGCTGCGCATATGATTATTTTTGTGTGTGTTCTTGAATCTTATGGTGTTTGTGTGGGACTTTAATGAATGTGTGTTCATATGAACTTGTATGTGTGGAGTGTGTGTGTGTGTGTGTGTGTGTGTGTGTGTGTGTGTGTGTGTGTGTGTGTGTGCATGAGTTTGAGTGTGTGTGTGACTGCGAGAGAAAGAGACAGCTAGTTTGTGTTTTTGTGTGTGTTTTCATCTGTGTGTATGTGTATCTACGTGTGTGTCTAAGGGAGAAAAAGAGGGAGAGAACATGTTTGTGTTTAGCTGTGTGTGTGTGTGTGTGTGTGTGTGTTCTCCAACTGATCTCCTGTCAGTGATGAGGCGCTTAATAACGGCCAGCTCTGACAGACAACTCGTCAGTAAAGTCTCCAGAACAGCTCGTGAACGAGTGTATGATAATAAGTGTGAGTATAATATTAATGATCATAAATGTGTGAATTATAATAATAATAGTGTACCTGCAGCCGGAACTGTGTGTCTTTGAAGAAACTCGATCAGCTCATCTGACAGAGGGCGAATTCCACCTGATGGAGCCGCAGCCGGAAGTCTCTCTTCTTCTTCTACGCTGATGATCGGGCGACAATGTTGCAAGAAGGGATACAGCTACGGTCGGAAGTTAAAGAGAATTATTTTTTATATTATTTATTAAATTATCAATTAATTTAGTTTTATTAACGTGTATCTCTACCCCAACCCCTCACAATAATGTAAAACTGTAATTATGCCGAGTATTATTATTAATATTTATTTAATTACCTATTAAAATGTATTTAATTAGCGACTTCATCTATCCCACGGTAAAACCCAGTCCTCGCAGTAATTTAAAATGATAAATATTGTTGTACAGTGTCACACAAATTATGCTACATTGACGTGAGTATCCGCAGCTGTATCTCATCTAGATTTTACCTCGGCTGTGTGCTGTGTTCGGTTCCTCCAGTAGAGAGCGCGCTCTTACAGCTCAATCACACACTCCATATTCATTCATTCACTTTTTATCTTTTCGGCTTATTAATTAGGGGTCACCACAGCGGAATGAACCACCAACTTGTGTTTTCCAGCTGCAACCCAGTACTGGGAAACACCCATACACACTCATTCACACACACACACACACACACACACACACACACACTACTGGCAATTTAGTTAATCAATTCCCCTGAACCGCATGTGTTTGGACTGTGGGGGAAACCGGAGCACCCGGAGGAAACCCACGCCAACACGGGGAGAACATGCAAACTCCACACAGAAACACCAACTGACCCAGCCAGGACTCAAACCAGCGACTGTAAGGTGACAGTGCTAATCACTGAGCCACCGTGCATCCGCAGTCCCTTTATTAATCAGGGGTCGCCACAGCAGAATGAACCGCCATCTACTCCAGCATATGTTTTACATCCATGGCGAATGCCCTTCCAGTTGCAACCCAGTACTGGGAAACCCCCATACACACTCATTTACACACACACACACACACACACACTACAGACAATTTAGCCTACCCAATTCACCTATAGCGTAAGTGTTTGGACTGTGGGGGAAACTGGAGCAAAGGGACTTAGCAGAAAACAAAATGAATGAATGAATGAATGAATGAATGATCATTTTGGGGAAATTTTATATTGATAAATGCATGTGCCTTTAAATAAAACCATTGTTATTTTGTTTTTGTTTTGCTTTTTCAAAAGGAGATTTGTAAATTTACTCAATCATTCAGTTTCCTTCAGCTTAGCCCCAGCCGGGACTCGAACCAGCAACCTTCTTGCCGTAAGGCCAACCACTGAGCCACAGTGCCACTGTTTAACACATTCACTCAATCATTTTCTTTTCGGCTTAGCCCCTTTATTAATCAGGGGTCACCACCGCAGAATGAACCGCCAACTTATCCAGCATATGTTTTATGCCCTTCCAGCTGCAACCCATCTCTGGGAAACATCCATACACACCCATACACTATTGACAATTTAGCCTACCCAATTCACCTGTACCGCATGTCTTTGGAGTGTGGAGGAAACCCACGCAAATGCAGGGAGAACATGCAAACTCCACACAGAAACGCCAACTGACCCAGCCGAGGCTCGAATCAGCGACCTTCTTGCTGTGAGGCAACAGCACTACCTACTGCGCCACTGCGTCGATGTTTTACCACATTTAATGTTATTTTTAAACCAATTTAACTCTGTACTTTTTATTTATTATATTACTTCATGATTCTTTTAATCGTCTTGTTTAGGTTTAAGCAGTTTGCATTATGATTGTGTATTAAAAATGTGCAATATAAACATGTCTCTGTCTTGCCCAACGATAAACTTGAAAATGTTCAGTGTAAACTCGCACTGATGTGGATGTCAATAAATAAGATATGCAAAATCAAACCAATGCCAGGGGTCTCATTTATAACACTTAAACTTATACACTGCAAAAAATGCTTTTCTTACTTAGATTTTTGTCTGGTTTCTAGTGCAAATATCTAAAAGTTCTTAAATCAAGATGCATTTTCTAGACAAGCAAAACATATTGTCTTGTTTTAAGAAGTAATAAGCCAAAATTAAGTAAGTTTTTCAATAAAAAAAGCAAAATAATCTGCCGATGGGGTAAGCAAAATAATCTTGTTTTTCCTTTCAACATAAGATTACTTTGCTTACCCCATTGGCAGCTTATTTTGCTTGTTGTTGGGAAAAACTTAACAAACCTAATTGTGGCATATTATTTCTTAAAACAGCTGCTTTAGAACTTCAAATGTTCAACAACCTTACAGTTTTATGTCTTAACAATAAAAAAAATAAATAAAGAATTGCTCAAACACGGATCGACGATGTCGTAACCGTACGTTCACACCGAAAGCGGCGAGAGCGTCCAAGGTCGCTCTGGCCGCCCTGGCGACAACGCTCTCTGCCTTTAGCTCCGGCAGCGAGAGCGTCAAAACTCACTACATTGATCTCATATTTAAAGGAGCCGTTGCAGCAAATATCAGTTACACTCCTGCATGAAACATGTTTCTAGCGTGAAAATGTTGCGCACTTCTTATCAAATTCATATAACAATGGAAAATCAAGTTGCGTGTGGTGTGGCTTTGCTCTTTTTATCCAATATGTGTCCATATGTCTGAAATATCCTGAAGCAGCATTACTGTTTTGTATTGTCACGTCGCGTGAGATTCCCGCTTTTTTAAGATAAATTTATATAACATTAATGCACATCAGTAACTCGCCAGTAACTTATTCAATGCATGAACCTGTAAGAAAACATTATAAATAATTGGACACCTGGCGACCGCAATCATCAAACCCTTGGGAACAACTGTGATAGGGACCAAAGTTCACAGGTCTGTGTTCTTTGAACTCCTATCAAGCGGTGGACGTCTTCATTCTGATTGGTTGCCGCTGAACCACGTCATAGCTCATTACCATACAGTTGACTTGATTTCAACTCTCCTCGACGCCCACTGCAGGCTGCATTTTGCTCATGGGGCTCTGCGAGACTTTAAATAAGAAGAGCGGAGCTGCGGCAAAATAATGAATAAAAAGAGTGAGGCCATGGTCAAATAAATAAATAAATGAAAAAAGTGCGACTGCTGAGAGTGCAAGCAGCAAGAAACACCGGCCCTCGCGGCCAAAAAACAGACCGGCCCACTGGAAACTCTCCCGCTCCTCCCGATTGGCCAATCCGGGCATTTTCTTTTCAGCTTAGTCCCTTTATTAATCTAGGGGTCGCCACAGCGGAATGAACCGACAACTTATTTAGCATATATTTTACGCACCAGATGCCCTTCCAGCCACAACCCACACTGGGAAACACCCATACACACTCATTCACACTCATACACTATGGCCAGTTTAGTTGATCAGTTCCCCTATAGCGCATGTGTTTGGACTGAAACCGGAGCACCCGGAGGAGACCCACACCAACACAGGGAGAACATGCAAACTCCACACAGAAACACTAACTGACCCAGCTGGGATTCAAACTAGTGATCTTCTTGCTGTGAGGCCACAGTGCTGACCACTGAGCCACCATGATGCCCCATTCAATTTTATTAAATTAATAATTTTTTATTGAATAATATTTTCAATTTGGGTAAATATTTGAAAGAAATATATTTGGTTTCTGTCCAACTACACACGGGTGATGTAACTACGTATTTCCTTTCATACTGTGCATCACTGTATTTACAAACAAGTAAGTAATTAACTAAAAAATAATGAATCTATTTATACACGATGGCTCAGTGGTTAATACTGTGGCCTCACAGCAAGAAGGTCGCTGGTTCGAGCCTCAGCTGGGTCAGTTGGCGTTTCAGTTTGGAGTTTGCATGTTCACATGGAGTTTGCATGTTCTCCCCGTGTTGGCGTGGGTTTCCTCTGGGTGCTCCGGTTTCCCCCACAGTCCAAACACATGCACTATTTGTAATCAGCCAATCACATGGCAGCAGCTAACTCCATTTCGGCATGTAGACATGGTCAAGAGGATCTGCTGCAGTTCAGAGCGAGCATCAGAATGGGGAAGAAAGGGGATTTAAGTGACTTTGAACATGACATGGTTGTTGCTGTCAGACGAGCTGCTCTGAGTATTTCAGAAACTGCTGATCTACTGGGATTTTCAAGCACAACATCTTTAGGGTTTACAGAGAATGCTCCGACAAAGAGGAAATCTCCAGTGAGCGGCAGTTCTGTGGGTGCAAATGCCTTGTTGATGAGGCCAGAGGTCAGAGGAGAATGGCCAGACTGGTTCCAGCTGATAGAAAGGCAACAGTAACTCAAATAAGCACTCGTTACAACCGAGCTCTGCAGAAGAGCATCTCTGAACACACAACATGACCAACCTTGAGGCGGATGGGCTACAGCAGCAGAAGAGCACACCGGGTGCCGCTCCTGTCAGCTAAGAACAGGAAACTGAGGCTACAATTCACACAGACTCACCAAAACTGGACAATAGAAGATTGGAGAAACGTTGCTGCTCTGAGTCTCCATTTCTGCTCACACATTCGGATGCTCGACTCACAATTTGACCTCAACAACATGAAAGCATGGATCATCCTGCCTTGTATCAGCGGTTCAGGCTGGTGGTGGTGGTGTAATGGTGTGGGGGAGATTTTCTTTGGGTCCATTAGTACCAATTGAGCATCAACGCCACAGCCTACCTGAGTATTGCTGCTGACCATGTCCATCCCTTTATGAGCACAGTGTCTCCATCTTCTGATGGCTACTTCCAGCAGGAAACGCAGCATGTCATAAAGCTCAATCATCTCAGACTGGTTTCTTGAACATGATGATGAGTTCACTGTACTCAAATGGCCTCCACAGTCACCAGAGCTCAATCCAATAAAGAATAAAATGCTTTTTGATTTAAGAATTTTTAGATATTTGGACTAAAAAATGAGACAATTTCGCAGTGTGATGATGCTCTGTGTATAACAGAAGAAAGACTGCTGTAATGACTACTGTAATTTTGTCAATAACACAGTCTGTCATCAAAACGTATCTTATCATAACATAAAATCTTATCTTGTCTTATCTCGGCTCTGCCTCTGCTTTAGTTGTGAATAAAACAATGAAATCATGAACATATGATTTCCAAGATTTTGAGAGCAAACTTTCTAAGAATTTATAGCATTAGCATAAAAATTGTCAAATAAAATATCCGGTGGCACGGTGGCTTAGTCGCACTCATTCAAGGTCGCTGGTTCGAGCCTCAGCTGGGTCAGTTGGTGTTTCAGTGTGGAGTTTGCATGTTCTCCCCGTGTTGGCGTGGGTTTCCTCTGGGTGCTCCGGTTTCCCCCACAGTCCAAACACATGCGCTATTTCTAATCAGCCAATCACATGACTGCATTTCGGCATGTAGACATGGTCAAGAGGATCTGCTGCAGTTCAGAGCGAGCATCAGAATGGGGAGGAAAGGGGATTTAAGAGACTTTGAATGTGGCATGGTTGTTGCTGCCAGACGGGCTGCTCTGAGTATTTCAGAAACTGCTGATCTACTGGGATTTGTGTGTGGATGTTTCCCAGAGATGGGTTGCGGCTGGAAGGGCATCCGCTGCATAAAAAAATGTGCTGGATAAGTTGGCGGTTCATTCCGCTGTGGCGACCCTGAATTAATAAAGGGACTAAGCTGACAAGAAAATGAATGAATGAATGGATGTAGGTCCATATGACATGTGTTTTTAAAATAGGGTTGTTTTAACCCAGCTTAAAGTTAAATACAATGGACAAACCAATATTGTGTTGTTGTTTTTAATTACACCCTTATTATACTTAATAAACCCAGCTTTAAGTCAAATATGGACCAACCAATATTGGGTTATGTTTTCAATTAAACCTAAATTATTCCTCCATAATTTGTTTGGCTCCATATTCGGTATTTAAAAACAACCCAGCATTTTTAGTGTACAGTGTTGGAGAACTCAAATGCTGGGTTGCTTTATCCCACCTTAAAGTCAAGTATGATGAACAAATGAATATTGGGTTTTTCAATTAAACGCATAATTTGGTGTATATTTGGTATTTTAAAATAACCCAGCATTTTGTAGTGTACAGTGATCCTGAACTGCACCCTTGAAATGCTGGGTTGTTTTTAACTCATCGTAAAGTCAAATATGATGGACAAACCAAAGTTCTTTTTCAATTAAACATAATTTACTTCCAAATTTGGGCCAATATTTTAAAAACAACCCATTTTCCTGTACAGTGTTAAAGAACTACACTAAAATGCTGGGTTTTAACCCATATTCAAGTCAAATATGATGGACAGACCAATATTAGATACAGTTTTTCAATTAATTTATAATTCCATAATTTGGTCCATATTTAGGATTAAAAAAAATAACCCAGCATTTTTAGCTCAGTTTGAGAGAACTGAAAACACTGGGTTGTTTTAAGCCAGATTAGAGTCAGTGGACCAACTAATAATGGGTGATGTTCTTCAAGTAAACAAATTATACTTCCACATTTAGGTCCATATAACATTTGTTTTTAAATAGGGTTGTTTTAACCCACCTTAAAGTCAAATACGATGGACAAAGCAATATTGGGTCGTTATTTTTTTAATTACACCTTTATTATACTAATTTGGCTCCATATTTGCTATTTTAAAAACAACCCGTATTTAATGTAGTGTACAATGTTGTCCAGCTTTAAGTCAAATATGGACCAACTAAACAAATATGTTTTCAACTAAACCTAAATTATCCATAACTTGTTAGGCTCTGTATTTAGTATTTTCAAAACAACCCAACTCTGTAGTCAGCCAGACGCTGGGTTATCGCGGTGGCTTTGCGCCAGATAGAGGCGCGACAAGTCTGTCGGGTCACTGAGGGAACTAATAGTGAAGCAATAATTAACCCATTTAACAGCTCTCCTTATCTGTCGTCTTGAGATGTGTTCGGGATTATCATCCAGACTCCCGCCACCTGTAGCGGATCATGGCCGCTCCTCTATCCTCTCTCCGACCGCTGGTCCTCCTCGTGCTACTCTCGCTGCTGCTGTTGGCCCCACGGAGCTCCAGCGCCCTGCAACGGATCTTCCTGCGGGACATCATCGATGTTTACGGGCAGAACGGTTCATTGGACCTCGCTGATGTCACAGGCTTACTCGAGACCATCGTGCAGCACTCGGTGGACACCAACATTCCCGTGCACGCGCAGGTAAAAGTTAATACAAGACTAATTTTGATTACTCAGCCTCTTTAAGTCACTTAGTTAAAGTCAGTCAGCCTATAAAATGATGTAATTCAATGTTGGGTCAAATATAGACAAACCCAACTGCTGAGTTAAAAAGTGTCATTTGAGTAAAATAGTTTTTTAATTAACCCAAAATTTCCATCTTTTTCTTCTTCTTCTTCTTCTTCTTCTTCTTCTTCTTCTTCTTCTTCTTCTTCTTCTTCTTCTTCTTCTTCTTCTTATTATTATTATTATTATTATTATTATTATTATTGCAGAGTAATTTAAATTTAATAAATGACAGAACATTCTTTATGTAAAATTACATTTAAATGGCACTTTAAAGATGATTCCTTAGATTTACTCATTTTTTTACGTTAAGCGGTTGTAAACAATTTATTTGGGCTGAATTTAAACAAACAAATTAAGTTGAACATTATTAAATTTAATTTGTTTGTTTAAATTCAACACAAATAAACAGTTTGCTACAGTTCTGCATGCAACACTTTTTTCAGTTGAGTTTGTCCACATTTGACCCAACATTGGGTTACAACATTGTGTAGAGTGTATAAACTGGTTAACTTACAAGATAATTTACATTATTTAAAAATGAAAAGTAGTCCATTTATTTATTTAAAAAATATATATAACCCAGCAGTTGGTTTGTGCCTATGACCCAAAATTGGGCTGAAATAAACCAGCATTAACAATGTTCTGTCTTTTTATTAATGCTTAATTTTATTTATCTTTATTTAAAATTTGTATTTTACACAATTACAAGTTTAATCAAAGAATGCTGGGTTAATTCAACTTAATCGTGGGTCAAATATAGGCATAAACCAACTGCTGGGTTACACACTTCTTAATCAAATTAATGAATTACTTTTAATTTTTTAGTAATTAATTCAGAGTTACCCTAATTATACACTCTAAAATGCTGTAACCCAATGTTGGGTCAAATATGGACAAACCTAACTCATTCATTTGTTCATTCATCCATTTTCCTTCAGCTTGCCTGATTTATCAGGGGTTGCTTTAGCAAAATGAATCGCCGACAAACCCAGCTGTTGAGTTAAAAAGTAAGTGAATAAAATAAAAAAGTTAACCCAACACTGGGGTTGTTCATAATATTATTATTATTATTATTATTATTGCAGTGTAATATATTATTTTATTAAATGCTATCTTTTTATTAAATGCTCAATTAAAAATAATAATAATAATGCCATGCTTAAGACAATTACAAGATTAATCTAAAAAAGTGCTGGGTTACTTCAATCCAATTTTTGGTCATTTAATTGGTTAACTTTAATTAAATTACCTAAAAATGAAAAGCAATCCATTCATTTAATAAAAAAAAAAACTAACCCAGCAGTTGTTTGTGCCTATATATGACCCAAAATTAGATTGAAATAAGCCAGAATTTTCAAAATAAATGTATAATTGTTTAAATTTAAGTCAAGCATGGACTTCTAGCTTTATTTGACATTTTTAATACTTAAGTATTTAATAAAAAGCTAAAAGGGCATACTTTTAGAAATGTTCTGTCTTTTTATTAATGCTTAAATACAAATATTAAATAAAGATAAATAAAATTGAATAAATTACAAGTTTAATCTAAGAATGCTGGATTAATTCAACTTAATCGTGGGTCAAATATAGGCATAAACCAACTGCTGGGTTACACACTTATTAATTAAATTAATTAATTACTTTTAATTTTTGGGTAATTTAATTAAAGTTAGCCTATATACACTCTAAAATGCTGTAACCCAATGTTGGGTCAAATATGGACAAACCTAACTCATTCATTCATTTATTCATTCATTTTCGTTCAGCTTGCCTGATTTATAAAGGGCCACCACAGCAGAATGAACCGCCGACAAAACCCAGCTGTTGAGTTAAAAAGTGTCATGTCATATATATATATATATATATATATATATATATATTGCAATGCAGTATTATTTTTTTTATTAAATATCTTTTTATTAAATGCTTAAGTAAAAAAATATAATCTAAAAAATAGTGCTGGGTTATTTCAACCCAATTTGGGGTCATAAACAGACACAAACCAACTGCTGGGTTAACTTTTTAAAAATTTAATTCATAGATTTTTTACATTTTTCTGTAAATTACTGAAAGTTAGCCTAATATATATACATTTTAAAATGCTGTAATCCAATGTTGGGTCAAATATGAACAAACCCAACTGTTGAATTAAAAAGTGTCATTTATATGTAATTTTACCAAAGTAATGTTCTCTCTTTTATTTATTAAATACTTAAGTAAAATATTTAAATTAAGCCAAATAAAATGGAAAGAATTACAAGATAAATTTAAAAGTGCTGGCTTAAGTCAATCATATATAGGCACAAGCCAACTCCTGGGTTAATCTTTATTTTAAATAATTGAATGGATTACTCCTCATTTTAGGTAATTTAATAACAGTCAGCCTACTTCTACACTCTAAAAAGGCTTACAGCAACCCAATGTTGGGTCAAATATGAACAAACCCCACTGATGGATTAAAAAGTGTCCTTTAAATGTAATTTTACCTAAATAATGTTCTCTCTCTTAATTAAACGCTTAAGCATTTTTAAAATAAAGCTAAAATGCCATGCTTGACTTCAATTTAAACTATAAGTTTAACCGGTCACACTTTACAATAAGGTTCATTAGTTAATGTTATTTAAAGCATTTACTAACATGAACAAACAATGAACAATACATTTACTACTGTATTTATTCAGGTTAATAAACTTTAGTTAATGAAAATACAGTAGTTCATTGTTAGTTCATGTAACTCATGGTGCATTAACTAATGTTAACAAGCATGGACTTGGATGTTAATAATGCATTAGTAAATGTTCAATTATGATTAATTAATGCTGTATATGTGTTGTTCATGATTAGTTCATGTTAGTAAATGCATTAACTAATGAACCTTATTGTAAAGTGTTACCGTTTAACCTAAAAATTCTGGGTTATTTCAACTCAATTTTGGGTTTTGTATATAACTGCTGGGTTAATTTTTAAAATTAAATTGATGGATTACTTTTCATTTTTCAGTAATTTACTCAAAGTTAGTCTGCTTTATATACACTCTTAAATTGCTGTACTCATGTTGGGTCAAATATGGACAAACCCAACTGTTTAAAAGTTAAAAAGTGTCATTTATATATAATTTTACCTAAATAATGTTCTGTCTTTCATTAAAAGCTCATGTAAATAAATAAATAGATAAATAAATAAACAAACAAATAAATAAATTAGCAATTAAATAAATAAAAAAACAGATAAATAAATAAATAGATAAATACATGAATAAATAAATAGATAGATAAATAAATAATTAAACAGATAAATAAATAAATAAATAAATAAATAAACAAACAAATAAATAAATTAGCAATTAAATAAATAAAAAAACAGATAAATAAATAAATAGATAAATACATGAATAAATAAATAGATAGATAAATAAATAATTAAACAGATAAATAAATAAATAAATAAATAAATAAACAAACAAATAAATAAATTAGCAATTAAATAAATAAAAAAACAGATAAATAAATAAATAGATAAATACATGAATAAATAAATAGATAGATAAATAAATAATTAAACAGATAAATAAATAAATAAATAAATAAATAAATAAATAAATAAATAAATAAATAAATAAATAAATAAATAAATAAATAAATAAATAGATGGATGGATGGATGGATGGATGGATGGATGGATGGATGGATGGATGGATGGATAGATAGATGACGGGCGGACGGACGGACAGAGAAATAAATAAATAAATGAAGCTACGCTTGACTTAAATTAAAACAATTACAAGATTCATCTAAAAGTGCTGGGTTATTTCAACTCAATTTTTGGTCAGTTATGGGCACAAACCAACTGCTGGGTTAAATTCTAAATTAAATTAATTTATTATTTAATGGATTTTTTTTGTAATTTACTTAAAGTTAGCCTGCTTTAAGCTCTAAAAAAGGCTGTAATCCAATGTTGGGTCAAATATGGACAAACCCAACTGTTGAATTAAAGTGTCATTTCAATGCAAGTTTACCTGAATAATGTTTTGTCTTTTATTAAATGCTGAATTACAATTTTAAATAAAGATAAATAAATGTAAAAAAATTACAAGCTAAATCTAAGAATTGTGGGTTATTTCATCACAATTTTGGGTCATACAGTTGAAGTCAGAATTATTAGCCCCCTTTAATTTTTTTTCCTCTTTTTTAAAATATTTTCCAAATGATGTTTGACAGAGCAAGGAAATGTTCACAGTATGTCTGATAATATTTTGTCTTCTGGAGAAAGTCTGATTTGTTTTATTTCAGCCACAATAAAAGCAGTTTTTAATTTTTAAAACTCCATTTTAGGGACAAAATTATTAGCCTCTTTAAGCTATATTTTTTCTCGATTACCGACAGAACAAACCATCGTTATACAATAGCTTGCCTAATTACCCTAACCTGCCTAGTTACCTTAATTAGCCTAGTGAAGCCTTTAAATGTCACTTTAAGCTGTATAGAAGTGTCTTGAGGAATATCTAATCAAATATTATTTACTGTCATCATGACAAAGAGAAAATAAATCAGTTATTAGAGATGAGTTATTAAAACTATTATGCTTAGAAATGTGCTGAAAAAAATATTCTCTCCGTTAAACAGAAATTGGAGAAAAATAAACAAGCGGTCTAATAATTCAGGGGGGCTAATAATTCTGACCTCAACTGTATATAAGCACAAACCAACTGCTGGGTTAATCTTTTACAATTAAAATGAATGCATTACTTTTCATTTATAGGCAATGAAATTACATTCAGCCTACTTCTACACTCTAAAAATACTACAATGTTGGGTTAAATATAGACAAACCCAACTAATGGATTAAAATGTCATTTAAATTGAATTTAACCCAACATGGTTGACCCAACGCTGGTTTAACACATTTTTTGCAGTGTAATATTCATGCTTTAAACGCTGTAAATAATTCAAACTCAACACATTCAAACAGTTTTTGTTGTGTAAATCTATTATGCGCAACATTTGTATGTGTCAGCTGCTGAAGTTCAGCGTTATCGAGATGATTGGACACGCTTATCAAACAATGCATTGAGAAAGAAATGATGATAATCAGTGATGGGTGTAATAATTAGTTACAAAGTAACTCGCTGCTGTAATTAATTTACTCTTCCACTAAAAACGTAAAGGAAGCAACTAATTTTCATTTCAGTTACAGTTAGCCTGTATATACTGTAAAAATGATTGATTGTTTTAGCCCAATGCTGGATCACATATAGACAAACCCAACAGTTGGGTTCATTCATTCATTTTCCTTTAGCTTAGTCTCTATTTTAGAGATCACCACAACGCAATGAACCACCAACTATTCATACATTTTACGCAGCTGATGCCCTTCCAGCTGCAACCCAGTACTGGGAAACACCCATACACACTCATTCACACACACACACACACACACTACAGCCAGTTTAGTTCCTCAACTCCTCTATAGCGCATGTGTTTGGACTGTGGGGGAAACCAGAGCACCAGGAGGAAACCCACGCCAACATGGGGAGAACATGCAAACTCCACACAGAAATGCCAACTGACCCAGCCGAGGCTCGAACCAGCGACCTTCTTGCTGTGAAGCCACAGTGCTATCTACTGAGCCACCATGCCGCCCCTGGGTTAAAAATGTAGCCTAATTTAAATGGAAATTTTAAAACATAACCCAACATTGATTTTGCATATATTTGATCTATAGGCTTTATACTAACCAGGATTTACATGTAATGCACTGCCCCTAAATCAAACAGCTGTGTTTAAATCAAATACTGCAATATATGTGTTATAAAGAGATGTTTTGCAGAATATTCATATTTCTCTGCTGTTTATTATCAGGGAGATTATGAAGCAATAATTGAGTCAAAATTAGTCTTTATATTGTATGTATACGAATCATGGTGTCATCGCTCTGAAATGTCTAATGCAAATAATGTTTGACTATAATTTCTTTAATTCTACGTAGGGATGTAACGGTTTAAACATTTCACCATTCGGTAATACCTCGGTATGAATGGCACGGTACGGTATTTATTGAATCATTTAAAGGAAAAACAAAACTAATGAAGAGACTCAAAAAAAAGTGCTAGCATGTTCAGGTTACCTCAACACTGAACAGATCAATGACATACAAATGATCTATCTGTAAACTTTCAAACAAGAACTATTCCTGTAAATTATTCAATTTTAATAACAAAAAATATTAAACCATGTAAAAAAAAACACCACTCGAATGGACAAGCCATGAGTGAGATAGAGGTCTCTTGGTGGTACAAGTCAATAGCCCCTTTCACACATACAGACCTTTCCGGAAAATTACCGGCAATTTTCCGGAAAGGTTGTATGTGTGAACAGGTCCTTTTTGAAAATACCGGTAAATTCGTTCTGGCTATTTTCCGGAAAGAGAAGTTGTAACATTACCGGCAATTTGCCGGAATGCTGCGCTGTGTGAATGCAGATGGAAGATTGCCGTAATAAGCGCGTGCACGTCTAGAACATGCTCACGTGAGACGTCTGCTTTAGCCAATCACAACAGTCAGACGCATTTACGTCCGTGCGGTTTATAAGAATTAAAGCCTTTGAATATTTTTCCAGACACATTTAGCTGCTAGAAGTTAGTCAGATCACGTTTATATGTTCTTCTTAATGCCAACTGTGTAAATAATCATCGATGACATGCTTATAATAAGCCGTTGTTTGTTTACCTTTAAGCTTTGCGTGTGCCTGTGAAACAGCCTGTGAGCGCCTGCACACGCACATATTATGAACATCTCGACATGTGAAAGTGATCCTGCGAAAGTTGTTCACAATATTGATCATCCACAGAGTTTGTAATTTATGCAAATGTTTACAAATACAAGCGCAGCCGTTTAAAGCTCATTTGTGGTGAATGATGTCAGAATTTACCGGTATTTTGGAATGGATGTGTGAATGCTCTTTTCCGGAAAATTTCCGTAACGTCCTCGCCTGTGTGAACAGCGCTTTTTTGAAAATACCGGTAAAGTCGTTCCGGAAATTTTCCGGATATTTACCGGTATCACTGTGTGAAAGGGGCTTGTCTCCATCAATCTGAGCAGTGTGCTGTGTTCTGCAGTCCCCTTGACTAAAGGAATCCCCATCATGTTAGTCGTATTTCCCGACTTGTATTTCAGCACAGTCTGGCAGTCCCTGCATGCCCTTTTTTCTGTCACCTTTTCTTCTTTCTTGTTTCTTTTCAGAGAGAAACCGAAATGCTTCCACACATCTGATTTAAAACCCGCTTTAGGTTCTACCATTTTTAGCTCTTTTTCTGCTACTAGCAGCACCCTCCATTTCCGCATTACTGGATCTGTAGCGACAACACACCGCAAAGGATGATGGCCACGCCTGGGCTGATGAAAATTGTAGTTTCCGCTACCTCCCATTCGCTCCATTCGCCTGAGCAAACTTTTCACCAAAAGACCTATGATTTTATTGAGTCACAACCACGGTAATATTGAAAGAAACTGCCATTGCGGTATGACGGTATTTACAATATTGTTACATCCCTAATTCCACATGCTAGCTCATAGATATATACACTAGACATCGCATAGGGTCACTGAGCATGCATCAATAGCGCCGCCATATTGGTACAGTGCTCCCAGGACAAATGTCATTCAACCGCACTAGTCAACACAGTGTTATTCCGTGAAGATGCGGGACTTTAGTGCTATCTACGGGTGTAGTAACGAGCAAACAAGAAAAACAAAGCACAAAGGCAGAACATTTCATAGGTCAGATTTAGTTTTTTTATGTCATGAACTTTTGTGTTAAACGGGTAACGTTATTGATGATAACAGTCTCTTACTGCATTCACGATAAGTTAAAGCAACACCAGCTCGCACTAAACACTTGGCTTATGCTTGTTTTGTTGAATAAAATCAGCAAATAATGCAAAAGAAATATGACAACGAGATGCTGCGCTGGACTGTGGGGGAAATCGGAGCACCCAGAGGAAACCCACGCCAACATGACCTAGCCAAGACCAGCAACCTTCTTACTGTGAGACTACAGTGCTAACCACTGAGCCACTGTGCCACCCTTAAATTCCAAAGGACCAAATTTATCCCAACTTTTTTATTTTTAGTAAGTATTTTTAAAGAATTTATGTCTACAGTTGGATAAACCCTGGTCAAATGTTTCCAAACCCATTAGCTGGGAAATTTTTTTTTTTTGGAATAAATAATTAAATTAAAATAGGCGACGCGGTGATGCAGTGTCACCTCACAGCAAGAAGGTCGCTGGTCGCGGCTGGAAGGGCATCCACTGTGTAAAAACATATGCTGGAATAGTTGGCGGTTCATACCACTGTGGCGACCCCAGATTAATAAAGGGACCAAGCCAAAAATAAAATAAATGAATTAATTAAATTAAAATAGATAAAAATTAATCCAACATTTTGACTGTATTTGACCAAATGTTGTTGGGTTGACATAACCCAGCATCATTTAAGAGTGTATATAATCAATAATAATCATAACTTATTAAACAAAGTTAATCACCAATTCTGTATTTATATTAACATAATTAAATTAGTGAAATAAATGAGTATAATTTCCCAGGTTGCAGCATCCGCTATATAAAACATTTGGAGTAGTTGCCAGTTCATTCCACTGTGGCGACCCCTGATGAATAAGAGACTAACCCGAAGGAAAATGAATCAATGAATTATAAAATATTAATTATTTTATTTCAGTTTCTCATAATTAAAGTTTAAATGACTCAATATAAACTTGCTAATTTGTTGTAACTCAATGTTGGGTCAGATATATATACTACACTGGGTTTGTCCATTTTTGACCCAACATTGAGTTAAAACAACACAGCAACACTGTCACGTTATGTTTACAGTGTATGCATCAAGATTTATAGGGATTTCAAGTAGTGATTCAATTCCTTATTGAGTGTTTACATTTATTTTCAGATATAGCTATTAGAAAATAATAATAATAATGTAATCATTAGAAAAATAAATAAATCAAAATAGTAATAAAAATAATTTAATAAATATTTATAGAATTTTAGCGTGGCACGGTGGCTCAGTGGTTAGCACTGTAGCCTCACAGCAAGACGGTTGTTGGTTCGAGTCTCGGCTGGGTCAGTTGGCGTTTCTGTGTGGAGTTTGCATGTTCTCCCCGTGTTGGCGTGGATTTCCTCCCATAGGGGAATTGATGAACTACATTGGCCGTAGTGTATGAGTGTGAATGTGAGTGTGTATGGGTGTTTCCCAGTACTGGGTTGCAGCTGGAAGAGCATCCGCTGTGTAAAACATTCTGGAATAGTTGGCGGTTCATTCCACTGTGGCGACCCCTGATTAATAAAGGGACTAAGCTGAAGGAAAATGATTGAATATATCATTTTAAAATAATTTAAATACATTGTTATTGATGTAATTAGTAATCATTTCCTTGTGTGTGTGTGTGTGTGTGTGTGTGTGTCAGTGCATGAATGCAGAGGAGATCCTGGTGCATTACGGGTTCCACAACACCTCTGTCCTGAATGAAGAGCATCTGTCTATTGTTTGTCCCGCTCTGCTCAATAAAGCCGTGCTGCCGCCCTGTCCGACGGACCCTCCAACACACACTGAAGACTCCGATCTACACGGTGAGAAACACACAAATGCAGACATAAATGCAGGACAGTGAGGGAAACAGTGTTACACCATGCATTCAAACCTTTTCCCACTCGTTTTGGAGTGTGGTAGAGTATGTCAGGTAGTTTTCCGTGTACTCAGCACTGTTTTCTCCTCCTCCTGCAGTTTGGGGTTATGCCTTCCTGGCGGTGACCATCATTAATCTGGCTTCTCTGCTGGGAATGACCCTCGTCCCAATCACCAAGAAACCCTTCTTCCCTAAAGTGCTCACTTATTTCCTGGGCCTGGGCGTCGGCACGCTCTTCAGCAACGGCGCTCTGCAGCTCATACCTGAGGTAAAGCGTGGTCCAATACTCTGTTTACACTCAATCAAGGGTCCGTTCTTCGTACGTGGATTACTCAGTTAGCTGGATTTGGTTATTGACGATTTGACACGATCCAGGATCGATTCGTTCTTCAAAACTCATCTAAGAGTTGTTGTCATGGCAACAGTTCTGGTAGCTCAAACCTGGTCGGGAGCAGACTCATTTCATATAAACAGGATTAGATCGGCTCAGTTCAAGCAAATACAATACTGAATATATGTACCGAATGCTGATATTTTCTTGCAGTAGTAGTTATATACACTTAGGAAAATAGTAAATAAATAAATAAATAAATAAATAAATATCTATCTATCTATCTATAAATATAAATATATACATACATACATATACATATACACACACACACACACACACACACACACACACACATATATATATATGTATATGTGTGTGTGTGTGTGTGTGTGTGTATATATGTATATGTATGTATATATTGTCACATAACCAGCGATTGCTCTCCAGAGATCGCTGGTTCTCACACGAACACTAAGGACTACACTTCCGCCTTCCTCTGGACTACATATTCATACATGCTCTCCGGTTACACTCACACATGCTCACTCATCAAGATTGATTACCTTCTCACCAGCTGAGCCTTGTCAGAGACTGATTACACACCCTACATAAGCCACTCATTTACCCATCCAGTTTGCAGAGTCTTGTTAGCTCTAGCAGTAACATTACAAAGCGGTTTTCCCTGTCTTGTTTCCCGTATTTAGACCTTAGCCTTGTTTACCCGTGTTCTCCTGTTTAGCTGCCTGCTTTACGACCGCTTGCTTGTTTTTTGACTACGATTCTGGACTGCTTGAACTTAGCCGTTTGTACCTGTTTGATCATTGCTTGCCTGACGCTGAATAAACCTGCATTGTGGATCTTACCTCCAGTTGTCTCTGTCACTCCCCCCGTCGTTATATATATATATATACATACAGTATACAGTTGAGGTCAGAATTATTCGCCCCCCCTGTTTATTTTTTCCCCCAATTTCTGTTTAAAGGAGCGAATAAAATTTCAACACATTTCTAAACATTTTATCTTTGCCATGATGACGGTAAATAATATTTTACTACATATTTTTCAAGACTTTTTTTTTACAGCTTAAAGTGACATTTAAAGGCTTAACTACGGTAATTAGGTTAACTAGGCAGGTTAGGGTAATTAGGCAAGTTATTGTATAATGATGGTTTGTGCTGTAGACTATCGAAAAATAATTAGCTCAAAGAGGGTAATAATATTGTCCTAAAAATGGTGTTTGAATAATTAAAAACTGCTTTTATTCTAGCCGAAGAAAACAAATAAGACTTTCTCCAGAAGAACAAATATTATCAGACATACTGTGAGCATTTTCTTGGTCTGTTAAAGGGCACCTAGGTTACCCCTTTTTCCAGATTTAAGATAAGTTTTTTTGTGTCCCCAGAATGCGCCTGTAAAGTTTCAGCTCAAAACACTCATCAGGTTATTTATTAGCTGTCTAGAGTTTCTGTTTTATAGCTTGTATACTGTTTTTTTGTACTGCGGCTTTAAGGGTAGTCCTCCCCGCCCACCGTTCCCACATGCCTGTCAGCAGCATGCCTCAATCGCTCAATCACATGTTAATACGAAGCTGTCAATCAATGTTGGTAGGCGGGGGGACCGTACTCCTACGTAAAGTTGCAGTCGGTCTGAAAACCGCTCCCTTTGGTCCACCGTTTTTATGTTGTTAAATTAAAAAAAAAAAAAAAGCACTGTGTGTGTTTATATCAGCCCAATATGTCGGTCTATACACTATATAAACACACGTCTATCCAAACAGCTTGAAGAGTAGATTTTACACCATAGGTGCCCGTTAAACTTTAAAACTATTTGGGGAATATTTAAAATATATAAGATATATATATATATATATATATATATATATATCTATCAGTATATCAGTCAACATCTAAAATTAAATGTGTTTTAGGGTTTCATGAATCTGATTAATTCATATTTAATTAAAACAATTCAGTTCAGTTTTGCAATTAAAAAACAAACAAAAGGTCATGAAAAATCAGAAATGATGACCTCAGTTTGAAAGATTTGCCCCAAACTTTCTCATCATTTGTCCATCTCTTCTCTGACTGGTTGGTGGGCCAAATCAAATGTTACCATGGGCCAACTTTGGCCCGCAGGTCCTAGTTTGGGCATCTCTGGTCTAAGAAATAATCACGGTTTCACAATTATTAAGCATTCACTCATTTCAAAACACTGCTAGTATAGAAAATCCCATGAATGTGCTTCATATTTAAGTGTTCACATGAATGTGTCTTAATATTATATAAGAGTTATTTATTTCTGCTCGGTAACCAAATAACACAGCACAAAATAATAATAAACAACAAACAATAGTCCATTTCTCTTTGGAATTAGTGAATGTTTGAGGCTTTTAAACAGAAGAAATAAATTTACACTGAAAATAAACAAACGAAAATAAATCAGTTATTAGAGATGAGTTATTAAAACTATTGTGATTAGAAATGTGCAGAAATCTTCTCTCCGTTTAACACAAATTAGGGAGAAAATATGATTGTAATTGTAAGGCTTTTAATAGTAAGATCAATCACATGATCTACTCGGGCTTACGGTGCTTCAGTGAAACGCAGCGCAGGTCAGGTTACTGCAGGCCGGAGCAGAAACCGAACCCAATAACCTAAAACTGGTTCATTCCTGAAATGAAACCTCGGACTGGCAGGTTTCCACTGAACATATTTAATTGCTCTTATCAGCCCAGTGATGCTGATGTAGATTATTCAGCTAATGACGTAATAATGCCCTTTGCACTGGACTCCTTCTTTTCACACGCTATTGTTTTGTTCTGATGAGTGCTGAGAGGTACAGTTCAACCCAAAATGAACATTCTGTCATCATTTTCTTGACTTGTTTCAAACCTGTTTGAGTTTCTTTCTTCCATTAGTATTTGTTCTTACTACTATGCAAGTGAACGGTTACAGGTTATCAACATTCTTCAAAATATCTGCTTTTGTGTTCAACAGAAGAAAGAAACTTATAAAGGTTTGAAACCACTTGAGGGAGAGTAAATAGTGAGTAACTTTTGATTTTTGGGTGAACTGACCCTTTAATATGTGATGTACAGTATGATCGTTTGCATGTTGTAATGCTTAACTTTAAACCCATATGTGTGTGTGTGTGTGTGTGTGTGTGTGTGTGTGTGTTTGCATTTGTGTCACTATGTTTGTGTGCATTTATGTATGTGTGTGAGTTTATGTGTGTGTGTCTGAATGAGTGTGTGTGCATGTGTACGTATGTGTGCATTTATGTGTTTATGTGAGAGCATTTGTGTATGTATGTGTGTGCGTGCATTTATATTTGTGTGTGCATTTGTGTATGTGTGTACAGTATGTGTGCAGATGCATTACCTGTATGTGTGTTTGTTTGTGTGTGCATTTTTAAGTCTGCGTGCATGTGTCTGTGTGCATTTTTGTGTTTGTGCGTTTCTGTATGTGTTTGTGTTTGTGTGTGCACATGCATTTATGTGTGTATGTGTGTGCACATGAGTTTATGTGTGTACATGTGTGTCTGCGTTTGTGTATGTGTGCGTTTGTGTATGTGTGTGAGTATTTATGTGTGTTTTTGACTGTGTGTGTGTGTGTGTGCAATTTTGTGTGTGCATGCATGTTTGTGTGTGCATATGTGTATTTGTGTGTGTATGCATTCATTTTTGTGTGTATTTGTGTATATGTGTGCAGATTTGTGTGTGTGTGTGTGTGTGTGTGTTTGCACATGTATTAATGTGTGCATGTGTGTCTGCATTTGTGTATGTGTGTTTGAGTATAAATGTGTGTTTGTGTGTGTATTTTTGACTGTGTGCGTTTTTGTGCGTGTGCATGCATGTTTGTGGGTGTATTTCTGTATGTGTGTGTTTCTGTGTATATGTGTCCGTTTGCACATGTATATATGTGTGCATGTGGGTCTGCATTTGTGTATGTGTGTATGTGTTTGAGTATTTGTGTGTGTATTATTTTGTGTTTGTGTATTTGTGTATATGTTTGTGTGTGTATTTTTATGTGTTTGTGCGCATGTGTATGTGTGCAGTTTTGTGTGTGTGTGCACATGCATTTATGTATGTGTGTATGTGTGTACTTGTGTATGAGAATGTGTATTATTTGTGTGTGTATTTGTGTCTGTGTGTGCATGTGTACTGTATGTGTGCATGTGTGTGTGTGTGTTTGTGTGTAAATGCATTCATGTCTTAGTGTGCTTTTGTTTATATGAATTTGTGTATGTTTGTGTGTGTATATATTTGTCTGTGTGTGCATGTATACATGTGCATTTGTATGTGTGTGTACTGGTGTATGTAAACGTGTATATGTTTGTGTGTATTTTTATATGTTTGTTTGCATTTGTGTGTGCATTTGTATGTATACATATATATATATATATATATGACATTTATGTGTGCATGTGTGTCTGCATTTGTGTGTGTGTGTGTGTGTGTGTGGTGTGCACACACACACACACACACACACACATACATATATGTGTGTGTGTGTGTGTGTTTGCCCCCGCATGGACATATGTATGCGTGCATTTTCCATCTGAGCATACATTTGTGTATGTGTGTGTGTGTGTGTGTGTGTGTGTGTGTGTGTGTGTGTGTATGTGTGTGTGTTTGTGTATGTTTTTGCATATGCATTTTTTATGTGTGCAATTATGCATGTCTGTGCATGTGTGTTAGTTTGTGTATTTGTGTGTGTGTGTGTGTGTGTGTGAGTGTGTGTGTGTGTGTGTGTGTGTGTTCAGTCCTGGTATTCATCATGTTCTGGGGACCAAATGTCCCCACAAGTATGGTAATGTCAGTAAATTTTAACCTTGCAGGGACATTTTTTGGTTCTCATGAAGAAAAAGGGCTCATAAATCAGACACAATCAGACAGCAGAGTGTTTACTGTGAGGATTGGGTTGTTACAGAACACAGTCTGTACAGTAGAAACATCACTATAACTGGGGAAAGGGCCCATACAGCTATAATGTGTGTGTGTGTGTGTGTGTGTGTGTGTGTGTGTGTGTGTGTGTGTGTATGAAGAGGCCCGCTATCTGTCTTAACATGTTCGAAAACACATTTACATGATCAATTCCTCTTTTTAAACAGGCATTCGGGTTTGACCCAAAAGCAGACGGTTTCGTCCTTCAGTCTGTCGGGGTGTTCGGTGGATTCTACGCACTTTACATCGTAGAAAAAATCCTGAAGATTGTCCTCAAACCCGAATATGAGGTACGTTTGTCTTATCTAGTGTCAGGAATGTTTCTGAATGCGTTCCAAGAACTCAAAAGTGGGGCACTGAGATTATCTCACGTTATAGTCTATTAAAGTGATTTAAGCTCTAATTGACAGGCTGTATTTGCTTTAACAGTTTGATATACTGTAGTAGTTGCATAAAGAGCAGGACAGTGCGCAGTCAGCAGCTCATTATCTCCCAACGCACTGATATGGTTTATTTTGTGATGATGACCTATGGCTGTTTATTACATGTCATATAAAAATAAACGGTGCACATCCAGATCTTCCTTGATGGTCAGATGTTAGTGTTTTTCTTTTTTAAATAAGCATGCAGTAATCATGTGAATTGTGTTGTGTTTCAGCAGGGTCACAATCAGTGCCAGTCTTCAGAATGTGGCCAGCAGAATCCCGGATTCACAGATTCAGAAATTAACCTCGCCATTAGTGACAAAATCAGCATCGCCTCTGAACCTGCATCTGAACGGGTATGACTGCACAGATGCCACAGATATATATATTACGTCCTAAATAGTTTGGATGAAATGTTATAGATTCACCCCTTATGAAAAATGTAAAATATGGAACTGAAAATCGACTTGCTGACTATTGTTATGTCAGATCTATAATGCCAATTGTGCCCAATCTCAGAGTAATCTCGAGTACCTGTACAGTAGCACTGCATGCATTTTTTCCTTAATGTCTTTAGTTTTGTCATACTGATAAGAAGAAGATGCAGCTTTGTGATTCTCTCTAGGGAAAAAACAAGGACATGGAGGTGTGTAGTGGGCAGAGATAATGAGGCAACAGTGATGGACTACAACCTATGATTAATAAAACAGGGTAAACTTTGCAATCTGAACCCTTTGACGTGTACAATCACACCGGTGAGATCAATCTGAGATTAGCTGCAAAATTCAGATCTGCCTTCCCAGCTGGCTTTGGTCCAGAGAATAACAAGCACATTGCTTGTTAAAGACCAAATCTTATCAGTTTTAAATGAGATACTGTTTGTTTTGGGTCACAGACAATTGAAAAAGTCCCTTCCACTTGAAAGTCTCCCAAGCTACTTGCTGCCAAACTCCCACTTGGAGGCCAGGTTTATTTCAATAGCACTTTTTATGATGCAGATTGTGTCAAAGCAGCTTAACATAGATAATAAATAGAAAATTAAAAGCCATAACAATAGTTCAGATTATGGAAACATCCCAGCATATCAGGCAGACAGAAGAAAGACAGAATGCAGGTGTAGTTCTAGTTAAACCGAAACTTTTTCAGTTCAGTTTGATACCAATGTCACTGCTGAAGGCTGATCCACTGACGAGCAACTCCCCCAATGCAGACCTCTACCATCTCAAATCATAGCAAGCTCGAGATGACAGTGACAAGGAACCAAAACTTCACCAACTGACAGATGTGGAGCACAAACCATGGGAGAAACCACACTCAGACTGGGCAACCATTTATCCTCTGGAAAAACATAAAGGGCAGAGCTGCAGAGTTCTCCAGACCTCTTCACAGACCAAGTCCCTACCATCTGAAGGACTCTCAACCTACTTGCAGCATAAATCCTTCCCACTTGGAAGACTCTGAACCCACTTGCGGAGTAAGTCCCTACCACTACCTGCAGCATAATTCTTCCCACTTGGATGAGTCCAAATCTACTTACAGAGTAAGTCCCTACCACTTGGAGGTCTCTAAACATTCTTGTTGACTAAGTCCCTACCACTTGGAGGTCTCTCAACCAACTTTTGGCGCAAGTCCCTACCACTTGGAGGTCTCCCCACCTACTTGTGGAGTAAGTCCCTACGACATGGAGGTCTCTCAACCTACTTGTCTCTACCATCTAAAAGTCTCTCAAACTACTTGCGACGTGAATCCTTCCCACTTGGAAGACTCTGAACCCACTTGCGGAGTAAGTCCCTACCACTTAGAGGTCTATTGACCTACCTGCAGCATAATTCTTCCCACTTGGATGAGTCCAAATCTACTTACAGAGTAAGTCCCTACCTCTTGGAGGTCTCTCAACCTTCTTGTTGAGTAAGTCCCTACCACTTGGAGGTCTCTCAACCAACTTTTGGCGCAAGTCCCTACCACTTGGAGGTCTCCCCACCTACTTGTGGAGTAAGTCCCTACGACATGGAGGTCTCTCAACCTACTTGTCTCTACCATCTAAAAGTCTCTCAAACTACTTGCAACGTGAATCCTTCCCACTTGGAAGACTCTGAACCCACTTGCGGAGTAAGTCCCTACCACTTAGAGGTCTATTGACCTACCTGCAGCATAATTCTTCCCACTTGGATGAGTCCAAATCTACTTACAGAGTAAGTCCCTACCACTTGGAGGTCTCTAAACATTCTTGTTGAGTAAGTCCCTACCACTTGGAGGTCTCTCAACCAACTTTTGGCGCAAATCCCTACCACTTGGAGGTCTCTTAACCGACTATTGGCGCAAGTCCCTACCACTTGGAGGTCTCCCCACCTACTTGTGGAGTAAGTCCCTACGACATGGAGGTCTCTCAACCTACTTCTCTATCATCTGAAAGTCTCTCAAACTACTTGCGACGTGAATCCTTCCCACTTGGAAGACTCTGAACCCACTTGCGGAGTAAGTCCCTACCACTTAGAGGTCTATTGACCTACCTGCAGCATAATTCTTCACACTTGCATTATTCCAAATCTATTTCCAGAGTACGCCCCTACCTCTTGGATGTCTCTCAAACTACTTTTGGCTCAAGTCCCTACCACTTGGAGGTCTCTCAACCAATTTTTGGTGCAAGTCCCTACCACTTGGAGGTCTCCCCACCTACTTGTGGAGTAAGTCCCTACAACATGGTGGTCTCTCAACCTACTTGTCTCTACCATCTGAAAGTCTCTCAAACTACTTAAATCCTTCCCACTTGAAAGACTCTGAACCTACTTACGAAGTAAGTCTCTACCACTTGAAGGTGTCTCAACTTACTTATGAAGTCCCTACCACTTGGAGGTCTCCTAACCTACTTGTTGCATAAATTCCTTCCACTTTAAAGACTCCCAAGTGGTAGGGACTTGGAGGTTGGAGGTCTCCAAACTTACTTGTGGCATAATCCTTCTCACTTGGAAGACTCTGAACCTACTTAGGGTAGGGTTGGGCGATGTCGACCAATTTGGCATCATACAATGTGTAATGTGAAACATCGCGATGGACGATGGCATCGTCAAAAAGCGAGGGTGGGGGGTGGGGTTATATGGGGGCGGGGTCTGAAGAGTGAGGAAGGATCCAGGGATTTGACGACCGAGAGGGAGACACACGATTTCTAGGAGGTTATCTCTTGAGTCCCGCAAATGCATAGAGACTCCCGAAACTTCCGGGAGACTTGGGATGTGTGAATATCATGTACTATAGTGAGACATGATCCAGCGGAGCATCCTTCATAAACTCTCCGACGTGCACTGCTCTCTGCCTGGAGCTCAGAGGAGCGTATGACAGTGTGTGGCTGTGTGTGTGTGTGGCTGTGTCTGTGGTCAAGTGCGATTTCAGCGAACGGAGGTCTGTTCAGAAATGCTAGGTTAAATGGTGTGGATGTGGATCATTTTCGTTCAAAATGCCATTTTAACACTAAGACGTAGTGGTGTAAACAGGGCCTGAGTGTGTATTTTTCGCGAGCGGGTTTGCGACGGGGGTGGGGCGATGGATAGCGATGCTGGCTTAGCATCGTGTTGTCTATTGGCCATCAGCGATGGTCTATCGGCCCAACCCTAACTTAGGGTGTAAGTCACTAACTGTAAGTTCCTACCGCTTAGAGGTCTGCCAACCTACTTGTAGTAAGACCCTAACTCTTGGAAGTCTCCCAACCTACTTGGAGACTAAATCCCTTCTTCTTTGAGAACTTTGAACAAACTTAGTAAGTACCGAGTTAGCACAAAGTAAGGTCTACTACACTACTGCACTAAGTAGGTAGCTACTCGTGGACTTAAGTCTCTCTCTTAGTTGGAGGTCTATGGGCTGCAGAGATATATTGTTGGGCAGTTGAGCTGAAAAATTAAACATTATTTAAGCATCATTTTGTTTTGAACACTGTTTTCCAATTTTTGATGACAGCAAGGCAAAAAGTCTGGTGCATAAGCTTTCAGACACAGTCAATGAGTCCCTCCCTTAATGATGTCAACTGGAGCCCTCTTCAAAAGAAACTTTCTGAAACTAGTGCCATCCCTGAAGTAGGGTGGTAACTATTATAAAAATTTGGTTGATGATTAATTCTTTTAGAAATAATTGCAATTTATACAATTAAAGGTTGAAAAAAAATCTAACATATGGCCAAATATGATTCATCTTCAATATTATTCATTTGAAACAATCATGGTTAAAATGAATAACTATTGGACCACAACAGGCCTACCCAGAAGTACTTTGACATGCGTGAAAATATTGTTTTTAACAGTTGATTCCATCATATATTCTGGTTATGGTAGTCAAGGGCTTCCAGTTTCCTATGTTCACACGTTCATACTGTAACCCTAAATGACCAACTATATGAGTGATGCATAACAAATATTTGTAATGATATGTAATCTATAAAAATGGTTTTATCACAATGGTAAATATTTTTTATGACCACATGAAAGTGTCTTCCTTGATCAAAAACAAGATAATAAGAATTATTTATCAGGACAGTGGGGTTAGATCTTTATTAAATGTCGTATGAGACGGTGGTCAATGGTTAAACAGAACCATGTGATATCAGATGTCCTTCAGAATATGATAATATATAGAGATCGAATAGAGTTCAGACAGATGTTTACATCTCACTAGCATGTAAACAGTGGGTTACGCAAGAACGGTAATTAATCACTGATTATTACTTACATAACTAAAAATGTATTTAAATGACTAGCAATTTCACAATTTAATTATTTTACCCAGTACTTCTTAAAATTCATATAAAACTTTAAAAAATGTAAATTAAATTGAAATACAACTATTTCCATTTAAATTTTAGTCAAACATGGCCTTTCAGATTTACTTAAAGTAAATATTGCATATTTGTTATAAACATAATAGTACGCACTTAAGCATTTCAATAACAAACATTACATTGGTTAACAAATTGAAAAAATGTAAAATTAAACTAATAATTATCATATTTCAAGGCATTTCAGACCATAGACAAACTGTATATTGTCTTTGACAAAAGTCTGACTCAATTAATTATTTTTAAAAATTAATTGTGTATTCATGCAACCTTAGTTTGTTGAAAAATATAATTATTTACAAAAGATATTAGTATAACAACACAGTTGCTCTCCTCTGAATTGATAAACAAACCTGTACACCTGTAGAATTGATTGTTTTTTCAGTATTTAAGGCTAATAGAGTATATGTAGCTGTACTTAAATTACATAAACATTAAATGAGATCTCTACTTTACATTTCAGTGCATTAGTCATTAAAATACAGTAACTAAATACGCTCAAAACTGCATGTAAAAAAAACTAAAAACATGATGGAAGTCAACGGCTGTTTTTTGAAGTATATTTTAAGGATCTAACAGACCTAAATTCATTAATGATGGCAGAATTTTAAATGGGCAAACTGTACCTTTAATGTACATGCATTGTCTTTAACTTCACGTATGGAAACATGACCAATTACTTTTATCAGAATACAGTAAGTCATTACCAGAAAAAATGTTATCAACACAGTGTTTAATGCTGCTCAAAGGTGAAATAGATGCGTCTACACACAAATTGCACAATACTATCTTATTGTTGTGCACAAAAAAGCATACGAATTAAGTGAAAGGTCACACATTGACATTAATATACAGATTACAGCCTTCAATAGAGTCTCTTTAATATATCATCAATAGATTCTCAATCTGAATATACCTGAGAAGAGTCTTGGATGCTGAAACATTCAATTACGCTCATATTTTTGTAACTCAATTAAGTTGTCCTCAAAAATTGTGTTGTTTCAACTCATTTTAAACAAGTAGCTTGAACAAATAACACTTGAATGTGTGAAGTATTTCATTTAATTTGGCAGGCCTTTCTGACCTTTATACTAATGTCATCTCCAGCAGGTAATGTTAGATTTGACTGTGATCGTCTTCGCAGGGCTCTTGCAAATGGCTGAGAGGCAGAAATTTGTCCAATGTGAAGACAGTGGCGTGGATGATTAGTCTGAGTGATGCTATCAACAACTTTATTGATGGAATTACCATCGGCGCCTCGTTCTCCGTTTCCCTCGTGAACGGATTCAGCACCTCCATCGCCTGCGCGAGTGAGGAGTTACCACATGAGCTTGGTGAGATAAACAGGTTATGTTCCGGTTATGTTCAGGTTATGTTAGAATTATTTCAGGTTATGTTCAAGTTAAGTTCTGTTATGTTCATTTTATAATCAGGTTACATTCTGATTGTGTTCAGGCTATGTTCTGGTTATGTTAACGTTATGTTCATTTTATGCTCAGGTTACATTCAGCCTATGTTCTGGTTATGTTCAGGTTATGTTCAAGTTATAATCTGTTCTTGTTATGGTCTGCTTATGTTCAAGTTATGGTCAGGTTACATTCTGGTTATGTTCCGGTTTTGTTCAGGTTATGTTCAGGTTGTGTTCTGTTTGTGTTGAATAGGTTCAGGTTATGTTCTGATTATGTTTAGTTTACATTTATGTTACGCTCATTTTATGTTCTGGTGATGTTCACATTCAGGTTATGTTAAAGTTCAGGTTATGTTAATGTTATTTTTAGGTTATGTTCTGGTTATATTAAGGTTACTTTAAGGTTATGTTCATGGTATGCTCAGGTTATGTTTGTTTTATTTCCAGGTTATGTTTCGAGTTTGTTAAGGTTATGCTTCTGGTTATTTTCAGATTATGCTCTGGCTATGTTCAGGTTATGATCTGGTTATGTTTAGGCTATGTTCAAGTTATGTTCAGGTTATGTTAAGGTTATGTTCAGGTTATGCTCTGGTTATGTTCAGGTTTTGTTCTGGTTATGTTTAGGCTATGTCAAAGTTACGTTCTGGTTATGTTCAGGTTATGTTCAGGTTATGCTCTGGTTATGTTCAGGTTTTGTTCTGGTTATGTTCAGGTTATGTTCTGGTTATGTTCAGGTTTTGTTCTGGTTATGTTTAGGCTATGTCAAAGTTACGTTCTGGTTATGTTCAGGTTATGTTCAGGTTATGCTCTGGTTATGTTCAGGTTTTGTTCTGGTTATGTTTAGGCTATGTTCAAGTTATGTTCTGGTTATTTTTCAAGTTATGTTCAAGTTATGTTTAGGTTAAGTTCTGGTCATGCTCTGGTTATGTTGAGGTTATGTCTAGATTACGCTCTGGTTATGTTCAGGTTATGTTTAGGCTATATTCAAGTGATGTTCTGGTTATGTTCAAGTTATGTTTAGGTTATGTTCTGGTCATGCTTTGGTTATGTTCAGGTTATGTTTAGATTATGCTCTGGTTATGTTCAGATTATGTTTAGATTACGCTCTGGTTATGTTCAGGTAATGTTTAGGCAATGTTCAAGATATGTTCTGGTTATGTTCAGGTTATGTTCAAGTTATGTTTAGGTTATGTTCTGGTCATGCTTTGGTTATGTTCAGGTTATGTTTAGATTATGCTCTGGTTATGTTTAGGCTATGTTCAAGTGAGGTTCTGGTTATATTCATGTTATGTTCTGGTTACATTCAAGTTATGTTCAGGTTATGTTAAAATGACGGTCTGGTTATTTGAAGGTTATATGCAGGTTTAGAGATCACAAAGTGAGATTCCACCAATCAGTTGAGAGCAAAGCAGGAGTGTATTATTAAGTCAATTAATTAAACTCCTTATCGAGTAACTAAATTGCTTTTCTGACATGATAAGTAAAAAAATAATTACAATATTTTTTCCTCAAAAGTAACCTTACCCAACACTGCTCCAGAAAACAGCATGTGCTCTCTGTCTCCCCCTGCAGGCGACTTCATCATCCTCCTGAATGCAGGTCTCAGTGTCCCGCAGGCTGCCTTCTTCAACCTGCTCTCCTCCTGCTCCTGCTACTTTGGCCTGGTTGTGGGCATCTTATTGGGCAACACTTTCAGCCCCGGCCTCATCTTTGCCCTCTCCAGCGGCATGTTCTTCTACATCGCCCTGGCTGACCTGGTTAGAATACAGCACACCACATCCAAGGGCGGTATTGTGTCGTAAAATGCACCCCTGCCAAATGATGCCATCCCCTTTGCTGAATTC